GGAAATGCAAGAGACGCTTCTGGAGGGAATTAAACCAAATCCTTCTGATGACAGACTTTGGCTCTGGCATCCCAGAATGACCAAACTAACATTTGAGATGCTGTGATGCGATTGGTCCACTGGTTACTCATGTTATCCAATCACAGCCTCTGTTGAGGCAAAGTCATGCGAATTGTTTTTGTCGCGGATCGATGGATTTATTTGGGAAGGGTGTTTCCATCGTAGTTTATATGCGCATGCCGTCTTATTGGGTAAAAACAGTTCTGCCTCAATTGAGCAAATACATTTTTAATGCGCATTTGTAGAATTAATGCGCATTTCGATTCTCTTCTAATCTTGGCGTTTCGATTCAGCGTGGGGTTTTTCCCCCGTCTGCATACAAATGGAAACGTTGGAAACATAGCTGATGATATTCAGTACTCGGTTGGTTTAAAGGAAGGATTTTTTTAGTTTGTAGAACCGACATTTCAGCCAATCCACCATCGTAACATTCAAAATTGGTACAAGGTTAAAAATGAAAATTAAATATAATCAAAAATGAATACAAATACTTTTCATGTGTATATAACAATACACAGAAATAAACAGTCATTTTACCTACTTATGCTGAATCATAGTTTTGAATTCCTATTATAACTTTTTCAAAATGTAAATGTTTGAACTAGTGGTGGCGCTATACAGTTGGTCCTAGAGACCCTTAAGTTGGTCAGATTATTATTCATTACCATCACTATAAGTGTACCAATTTTCAGCATTTTCCTATCTTGAAAATATCTTTTTGCTACTGGTATTTAAGGGAAAATGGCAAAAAGCAGTACAATTGTTGCGATTAATTGTATGCCGCTGCTGAATCTATTTGGCATATTGGCTATATCTCTCAGCCCTAGTGTGAATTAGCTTGTTTTAATGCAGGTGTGTCTTTTCTGAAGTAAACTTTTTTACTTTCTCTCGTGTTTTGTTTAAATTCCCTACCTGTGTTGTCCTTAAGATAGAAGTGCATGCTTTCAGAACAAGATCAGCCACTTAAATGTCAAAATCTGGCCGTATAGACGAGGGGATATCAATTCTTTCAATATTTCATGGTTTTATTTCTGTGCTTACCTTCAATCATTTTACTTACAGCTGAGCAGTTGCTCTCACTGCTGCTATGTACAATATGAAGATATAAACAAGTGATGAGAGGATAGAATAAAGAGAATGTTAATAAAAGTGATCAAATTGATTGATTTCTGATTGGACAAAGGACATAATTTGTCTAAAAAAAAATTTAAAAAGTGGTTTGATCATTTTTAAAAAGTTGTGTTAATGAAAGAATGGAGCTTTTTTTTATTTGTTTCCATAACTTGTACTGAAATGTACTGTAAATGTTTGTGATTTCACGCACTAATCGAGCTCTCTCTGACCATTTGTGTACATCAGGAGGAGTTTGAACAGCTGCAAGAGGAAGACCTGAAGACCTCCATCCCACAACTCAGCTCCGCTGCTTTAAAACAAGGTGAACCACAGACGTAGTGGCCTATAAGATAAAGCTGTAAATGTAAAAAATGGTTCTGTAGCCCTTTTTCAGCGTTCCCACAGGACCCTCCGTGTTTTTATTATTATGTTTGTTTGGTTTTTTTGGTCTCACTGCTATACGCTGGCATAGATGAACATGCAAGTCCACCATTATTTCTGTTAGTATGCATTCAGAATGAATAAAATACTTTGTGGCATGTTTGCTTTGTACAGTCCGCTCTCAATTTACACGTTGGAAATATTGAAGATCGGTTTAGTTCAGTATTTTGACTGGAAGCCTTAAAGGTCTCTGCACTGCTTTATCTCTTATTTTCCCTCTGTATGCTCAATCCCAAATCTTTATACGATTTTAGTTTAGTGAAGTGTTTTCATTTTTGTTCCCGTTTTAAAACCTGTATTTGTCATGAATAAAAACGAAGAAGAAAATGCTGGCGTCTGATTATTATTTTTTCAAATGCCATGGGAGTTACGTGTCAGATGTAGGAAGTCCGGGATTGCCCCTAGACCGCACATCTGCAACAGTAGAGATGTTCTTCATGTTTTTCAGTTCTCTGAATGGGATTTTAAGCTTACCTGGACAGGCGTGTCCGTTCACTCGATGGCCGCCTGAAGGGGAACGACCAAATTCACCAGAACTGAAGATGTAGTTTAAACACACACTTCGAAACAGACCGTTGTTGAGTGACATTAAAATAGGCCGTTCTCGTGATTCTGTCAAAATTCAAACCAGAGCCGCTCTGTGCTTTTGCTGATCAAGCATCGTCCCATAGCCTACGCTTTGACTTTCCTTGTTCATTACTTTTTTTTTTTCCAACTGTTAAAGTACCGTTTTTGAGCCTGCATTTGTTTTACACTAAACAAATGATGAAATAAGCCACCAAGTACCTTTTTGGTTCCTGACTACGAGTCAAAGATGCACTATGTGGACAAAGGTATTGTGACACACTTATTAATTAATGAATAGAGGCGTTTCAATCAGACCCATTGCCACAGGAGTGTAAAATCTAACTCCTAGCCATGCGGTCTGCATTTGCTCTGATGGGTGAGTCTGGATTCTGGGAGAATATCACATGCCTGACTGCATTGTGCCAACTGTGAAGTTTGGTGGAGGAGGGATACTGGTACGGGGCTGTTTTTCAGGGGTTGGGCTCGCCCCCTCACTTCTTTTTGGACCATGCTATATTTCCAACTTTGTGGGATCAGTTTGGGGAAGGCCCATTATGATTCATGTGTCCTAGTGCACAAAGCAGGGTCAGTAAAGACATGTTTGGATGAGGTTGGTGTGGAAGAGCTTGACTGGCCCGCACAGATCCCCGTCCTCAACCCCTATCCCACACCTCTGGGATGAACTGGAACAGAGATTGTGAGTCGGTCCTTCTCGTCCAAAATCCGTGCCTGACTTCACAAACGCTCTACTGGGCCAAAATTCCCACAAAAACACTCCAAAATCTCATGGAAAGCCTTCCCAGAAGAGCTAAAGCTGCAAAAGGGGACCGACTCCATGTTAATGTCTGTATTTGTGATGTCATTACAGTCCCAGTTGGTGTAATGTCAGGTGTCCCAATATAGTCCATACACAGCTCTCTTTTTATACATGTATAATATCCAAAGCTTTAAGTGTTATAAGCCGGGCATTACAAGGCATTTTGTGGACAGTTTAAAATAAACCTTTGAAAGAAGCACGTGTCATTTATAATAATTTAATTATGTGCAATCTTTAATCACGCTTAAGAAAGCATTAGAGCCGCAGTTCAATGACGTGGTCCACCTTTTACAGCACTGAATAATGCGTGACAAAGGTGTACAAATCACAGTCATTTGTGGTTACTTAGGGGGGTTTACTAAAATAACTTATAAATTACTTTAATTTGGTATTGAGTTAATAGCCCTAAATGAATAAATGATTTCAGTGTACAAATACCTTCAATAAGAAAATGAATGCTGTCCAGTGGAGAATTGATGGGTGTTCTGGGATTCTCATGGGAGTTACAGCTTCTGCCACCAGGTGGAGGACGCCTCGAATCTCTGCTGTGTGGAATTAAAACAGGGCGTGTGGAAGTTATACACACAAATACTTGAAGAATGAGCTAATATTATGAGAAAGCAGAGAGATGGCTTGCATGTTTCACGTTGTTGAGTCCTTTCATACGCGGGCAAGGGAAATCCTCTCCCACCCTTCCCTTTTCCTCTTGGAGAAGTTGTATGTCCCTCTTTTTCACATTCGGTGAAGGTACTAATGCCATAAAGCATATCTGTATATATTTATGATAGAGTATGTCAATCATTTAAATGATGATGCTACAAAATAGTTATTCTCAATTTTTTTTTTTATGTGTATAAAAATGTTTTTCTCTTTAGTGTTTTCCACGGATCCCCATCACTCCCTTGCGTACCCCATTTTGAAAACCTTAAAAACATGGGAAAAGCTGTAATTATTGGCCAGGAAATTAGCCAAACTTAAGCAAATGCATTACTTAAATTCTGCTGTCTCATAAAAACATCACAGACAGAATGAAGTTTTTGTCCGAATATGGGAAGTGGTGTGTGGAGTGATGAATCACAATGAAACACGAGTTGCATGGTGAAGCTCCAGACCAGTGACTTTGAAAATCTGCAGAGAAATATAATAAGAAATGAATCTCACAGTGAAACACGAGGAAGAGTCGTCAGATGCTGGTGGTACTGGTGAGATCATGGTTCACGTGAAAGGTCATTTAATGCTTTAGAGAGCAGAACGGCTTGCTTCCCACAACTGAAGAGTTATCTAAAGAGGAATGATCAGATTTTTCAACATGACAATGATCCTGCCCAAATTGCAAAGACAATCCAGAAGTGGCTTAAGTCCATCAGGCGCATGTTTTTGCCTATAGAGTCCACATTTGTACCCTAAATTGAATATTTGCTCTCACACTAAACTGAATTTTCAACTACTCAACCTCTGACCAGTGATTAAAGTGGTTAAGATTATTCAAAGACCAGTACATATTGTGCCATTTTTTGGCTTGGCCCGTTTTTTCCTAGTACAACTAACGTTACACCCTCTTGAACACAGGAGTGTGTGTTGTGTTCCTCCTCGTGCGTCCAGTCACATTACCGAATTAATATTCATGAGCTAAACCTACACCCATAGTAGGATTCGACTTCCGGTTAGAGTTCCCAAACGCCCTCATGACGTCAGTATAGTATAGTAGCGCTTAACTTTTCAAACGGGACCCAAACATACACACACACACACACACACGGGACAGGACACACACACACACAGGCATTGGAGCGGACAGAAACGCGGTGGTTTACTGTATCGGATTATCTTTAGTTGTAATTCGCACGGACGCGTCTACTTAAAGAGGACTTCTTCAAACCGGTCTGGATAATACAGCAACATTTAATGCCGCAAGTGGATCATGTTTTTTCCAAAACGTCGCAATGGAATATGTTTATAGAAGCGATCAAAGGACATGAGGCAGGACGTCTGGTGATGTTGTTCCAGTAGCGCTACTCTTCTCGGCGCAACATGTGTTTCCCTGACGCCAGTTATTGTGACAGCAGCCAGACTGCCATATAGCTTTGACAAATTATCTTTTCTAATAATACATGATATTTGTGCGCTTGTTAAAATGATCTCGGAGGAGAGAAGCAATCACATCTCTAAGCAAGCTCTCGGCTTCCCTGTGGGGTTATTGATCCGCTCGCCCAAGAGACGCCTGGCGATGCTGACCCGAAAGCCAAGCAACGGATCTCTACAGTGAGTTATTAATACACACTCGTGCGTTGATTGCACTCGTTTACTAATAACACAAATAAAGAATTATTTACGGGGATTAAATCACACTTAAACATGTATATGACAATCATGGCATTAAATAAGAAAATAACAAATCAAGTGCCATTTATTTATTATTATTTCATTATTTATTTCACCAAAATACATTTGTTAGAATGTCTCTGGTCCTTGACATGGAAAACGCTGCTGTAAAGTTATAGAAATTACTGTACATTTGAGATCTGGTACTATATAGGCTAGCTATATTTACTGCCTTCTGCAATAACAGAACAAAAAGTGTGAATGAGGGGATTAGGGTAAACTTTTTTTATTTATTGTTTATATATATATATATTTGTATAACTCCAACACTACAAATATATCCATCTTTTGGTATAAGAAACATACACATGTATACCAGTCATAGTAATATTAAAATATTTACATATGAGGAAAAACATAATCAATCTGATTGGAAGACATCAGAATGTCTCATTGGCTTATGTTACATAAAAAACCTACATAAAAGAATGCCTTAAAATAATATGATTATTATATTATAATAATTTCATTTTTAACATTACTTAAACTATTAGTTAGCATGAATGAACTAACGATGAACGATAGTTCTACAGCATAGGTAGCCTAATGTTAATTAATGCTAATTTCTACATTTTCTGACACATTATTACAATCAAAAGTTTGATCTGTTAACATTAGTTAATTCACTATGAATAATGTACACCTGTATTACAAAGGTTAGTATGCTGTAAATATTTATTGCTCATAGTTCATGTTAACTAATTCATTAACTAATGTTTACAAAAGAGACCATATTGTAAAGTGTTACATATTACTTTAATACTTATTCATATTTAATATTTATTCATATTTTTCTTAATTGTGTATTTATTTAATGCAATATTAATATCTATGTATAGTTTTTTTTGCCTTTATAAAGTGTTGATTCCTTTGTTTGTCAGGAATAATACAGGTTTAAAGTCCTTTTAAAAGCCCAACCTTTAAAAAGTTAGAGTTTATGATCAAATCTTGTACAGTAGCTACCATTGATAAAGTGAGCATCTGTCAGTGATGTTACATTATAACCCACAACCTAAAGATAAAATAGATGCAAGTTTAAATTGACATGCAACTTAACTGTATACATAGTACGATAAGTCTCAAACCTTAATATATTACATTTCTGACAGCATTAAACACTCACAGCTCTTTTTCTCGAGCAGTAAACGCGTCTTCTTCCCAGGGGTTTGTATTTGATCTGCCGCCTATTAAACTCAATGTGCCATTGTTGCATCTGAAGTCGAGTGTGTGCGGATGTGCGCATCTTCACGGGGATGTTAACGGTGTGTGTCTGGCAGGTCCAGCGCGTCTGACAGCACGGCTCGGTCTGTGGAGAGCACCGGAGTCAGGCAGCCGGCCAAGAGCAAGATACGCAGACACAACAACAAGCTGACCACGGTCTTTAACCGCAGTCCTATCCTGCCGAACGGCCGGACCCTGGAGCCGCACGCGGCGGACGACCCCGCAGAGCTGTCCAGTCAGAGGACCGTCCCAGGGATACTCAAGATATTTGGCAGTGACATTTGTCAGGGGACCAACTATAAGAGCGTTCTGGCCACCGGTCACTCCAGTGCCAAAGAGCTGGTCAGAGAGGCTCTGGAGAGGTGAGGGATGAAGGGTCAGGTGTGTGTGTGTGTGTGATTGGATGTGAGGGTCGCATCTCTACACTCTTACAAATAAAGGGGTTTTTTTGCAGAGAAGGACCTCTTTGGGTTCCCCAAAGAATCTTTCAGTGAACAGTTCTTAAAAGGACTATTTTTAATGATCTAAAGAAACTTTTCTGCCATAAAGAACCGTTGCAGGATGGAAGAGTTCCATGGATGTTAAAGGTTCTTCATGATACCATAAAAGACCATAAAGAAACACTGAAACAGAAATTAAAGAAATCGAAAGGCGGATACTACATTAATCGGGATACATGGCGTTTTCGTTTCAAAACGATCTTCGTCAAGACTAGTGTTTTCCAAAAGTTTCTCATCCACACTGAATTTTCAGAAAACACTAAATTCACCTTACAAGCACATACGTATAGCCTGGGAAAACCCAGACAACTTCCGGCAAATTTAGATTTGCTCTGAAAGTTAGTCTAGCAAAGAGCTCATTCAAGCCCATTTCCAATCCGCCGAAATCGAGGCACCAATCAGAAACGTTGGGGCGGGCTTTACACGATGACGACAGCGCTGTGATTTTGAAGCAGATTTTGTAGCCTACATTACAAAGATGGATGCCGCCGTCGAACATCACTCATTCGAATCAGCTATCACTACTACTTCTGTTTTAAGCCATTTGAACGTTTCCTTTTTGTTAAAAACCGAGCAAAGAACAACACTCGGAGATGTTTCTCCGCCGCTCTGCATACGTCATCTCCTTCATCGCTCTGATTGGTTTAGGTCTATCCGCGACGTCTGTTGGTGACGCCCCTCTGGAAATGATTGGTCTATGACGCTTTGCCAGACCATAACTCAGTTACAACTGAGAATGGTCTGGTTTTAACCAGGCTAACATACTTATCAACAACAAAATATCTCAGCATTTACTGATGCGTCCAGGTCGCTCTCCGTCACCATTATATGTTTGGTGTAAATCGCGACTGCTCTCGTGTTTTGCCGCAGCAAATGCGAGTGAATGTTCTGTCAGCTTTGCAGGACTGTGATATGAAGAAGCGTACAAAGAAACATATATTTAGCAGAAATGTGAAAGTGAATAGCACATAACAGGCACAATAGCAGTATGAACATGGATATTTATCGGTTTAATATGCGTCACATGACTAAACATGCGTCATCGTTTTCAAATGCCTCCGTTTGAACAGTTCACACTACAACGCGAAACCGCCGCTCTCAGATTTATCCACTTGGAAAGCATTTTCAAAACAAAAACACCATCTCAGTGTGGACGGAAGACCAGAACGGAGGGAAAAGGTGCGTTTTAAAGTGGAAATGTATTAGAGTGGACAAGGCCAAAGTTTTTGTAATTAAATTTGGGTAATTGGATAATTAGACTCTACGACTTTATAGACCTTGAGCTTTTAAAGCGGCAGATGTGCATATATTAAACAGAACATTATCATTCATTGGTGCGGATGCTAATATAGTTATCTGTAGAGTTATCATTCTTAGTGTGAATGAACCGTATATCTTTCGGTCAATGATTTTGACCCTTCAAAACTATTTTGGGGCTAATTTGAATATTTTCGGTTGCTGAAATTTCGGTGCATCACTACTTCAAACCCAAGACCAGAAATGCTTGCAACCTCAAGTCACTGGTCGCCACTGTCCCATGAGTCATGTTAGTCCAGCCAGTGAGTCCATCTGAGCTGTTCTCCGGTCTCACAGGTACTGCTTGGAAAAGGAAGACTCCAGTGCATATGTGCTCTGCGATGTGATTGGCCGAACCGGGTTGGACCACGAATGGAAGACTGAGTGCGTTCGGGTTGTCGGCGACCATGAGAAGCCCCTCATGTTGCAGTCACTCTGGAAACCCAAAGAGGGATTCTCCAGGCGTTTCGAGATCCAGAGAAGAGCCAGCGTGGAGGCGCAGAGTGCCAAGGATACAGACACCATCACTGCAGGTACTGCGCCAATATCAGCTTGACTCCGTGAGTGTGAGCGGCACTTTCAGTAGTTTAAGGCCTCTTTACACCAAGGACGATAAATAGGGCTGTACGATTTGGGGGGAAAATCTAATAATCATTTTTAAAGCGACTCAAATTGAGAACAGATGCAGAGATGTCATTTATGTGGAGTGTAGATTTCAAGTGTAAAAGAACACAGTGCCGCGTTTCAAAGCGAAAACACACAGCGTATACATTTATGTCATTAAATCACAGCCTTTGCAATTTGTTAATCATCATTCATATCATGATTTTAATTTTATTTAGACTTATCCTTAGATTAGCCCTAACGTTCACTATAACTATAAAGCTTTAATAAAGTTGTAATTCTGTGAGTAGTGAGTCCTCATCACGTCTAACAGAGAAACAATATCGTTGGAATCACTTTCAGGCTGATTTTTTTTTTAACTATAAAGACATTGTCAGCCAATCAGAATCAACCTGTCTTTAACGAGCTTGAGCTTTTAAAGACGACATAACAGCACCATTCTTACAATAAACGAAATGGTTATTGTGTACTGGTGTGTACGCTAATACCATCATCCTCATAGTTATCGGCATTGGTGTGAACGTGCCTTTAGAGATGTTTTGACTGGCTGACCTTTGATCTATGTTCCAGTTGACACAATTTAGGAATGTTTTAACAGTCTGAGGTGAGCTTATCCCAACAAAAGCCCGTCAGCAAGAAGCTTAGTGAAATTGCTCTCTCAGAAGTGTGTTTTATTGGGATAGTCCTATCAGCACTCGCACTGCGCTTTCCCACCGCGCTCCGGACGCCAACATCCAAATGGCCGCTTGTTTTTCTTTTCTGAGCGTGTTTCCTGCACTCTTGAGGGTGTTTTTTGGCGCGGGCTGTGCTGTTCCACAGGGATCTCTTGAGAATCGGTGACGGGGAGGGGGGAAGCTGTGTGTTCTGGCAGAACAATGTAGACGACCGCCCATTTCCACAGCTGATAACGCCCAGAGTGCCGATGGGTGTGAAAGCCTGACCTCTGAGAACCTTTCACAATGTTTATGTTACGTCACTACCAAAGAGTCATCTTATAGCCGAGCATCTGACAGAAATGTGGCGGATTTACCGCTATATTTAGACGAATGTATGCAAGCATTATCTCAAAGCTTTTAATAGTATTTCCCTCATCATTTTAGGCAGTTATGACATTGCTCACGCAGTAATAAGGCTGACTAAGCCATAATCAGTACTATTAACCTCTTCAGCAAATGTGCTCCATCTTTTGTCATCATGACACTGTGAGAATGTACAAATTTTTTCTGTGCAAATCATAGTTTTTTTATTTTATTTCATCCCCTAGGCCTCAATGCGCAGGCCCGAAAGCTGCTGCACGCCCGTTCGCGGGTCACCTCCCTGTTCGTGGATGGGACGAATGAAGGGGTAGATGCTCTGGGTATCTGGAGGAGCTTGAGTGAAATGGATGTCTCCACCATGGGAAAAGGAGCCAGTGAGACCCATAATGCACCTCAGCTGGAGGATCCAGAGGCAGAGGCTGATAAAGAGGCTCACCGCCTCAACGCAGAGAAAGAGGAGACGGAAAGCAGCGACGACAACCACACGCAGTACTCCATCCACCTGCCCTTTGATTTCCCATATTTCCTTCTGCTGCAGGGATACAGCCACACACAGGTAGGACAGTGGCTCTTTGGACCCTCGGTGATGTGGTTATTTGGATTAGGGTGATAGTTATGCTTCTGAAACTGTAGGGGATGCCGGGTTCAGACTACGCAATATCTTTGTCTGTTACGATAGTAACTGTGTCGGATTATGCGATTTTGAATCCTAAAATCTTGTCGTGTCTTCGACAAGAAACACGTCAAATACACGTTGCTTCCCGACCAATCATCACTTGCCATCTTTAATGATGTCATCGAGAAGGCAGAACTAGTGAGAGCGTAAAACAAACAATGGTTGTGCTAGCCTAATGCTAATTCCAGTACTCTCTGGGTTGCTGAAGCTCCTCCACTATTGTTTGCCAGCATTTATCTTCTTTGTTTTTCACTCTGTTGTGGTCGTTCCTCAAGGAAACATCATAAAGTTAGGAGTATTGTTGCCACAGCTCCACAAACCTTTCCTCCATTGCATAATTCCACCTAGCCGTACCAGTCACACCGTCTTTCTTTCGTTTCCCCATGTTTGAAAGCTGTGTATGGAGGAGCTTCTGCGCTCCTATTGGTCAATGTCACAGATGTGACGGAAAAAATGATACATGCTAGTTTTTCAGTCGTGATGTCGTGAAGCGTCGCAGATGCTGTGTCGTTGTTGTTGTCCGCTATGACACACTATACGAGATAAAACGATCAAATTCTTGCTTCCTCACGGCCATTGTTGTTTACGAATCACCATGACACCCTACATCAAACATTGTGCCAAAATACCGTGTAGTCTGAACCTGGCATAAGACAACCACAGCCTTTTCTGTTACTAGTACTCTTATTTAGTGTTGGATTTTTATCTGTAACATTAAACCTAAAGAATCGAACTTTGGAACGCAGCTCTTCCCACACAATTGGCATTATGAACATTGGTGATTTGTCAAGACACGTGGATCAATGTATTTTCCCATGGTGAAATGGCGTGATCCGCAGTGTTCGCTAAACCTTGGAAAGAATCCTCACACTCGTTTGCTGCCACATCCGTAGATACGCTAGTAGCGTTAGTGGCGTAGTGTTGTTTGCTAATGCAATCAATTAGGGTCAAATTGGAACCAAATACAAGGGCTAGGGAACAATATATCATAGAGCGTTGAGAAAATTGAGAGTATAGGCTCTTTTTATTAGAATTTTTTAGACTTTTTAGACGAAACTTAGGTTTGAGGCTCGTTTTTTTTTTTTTTTTACAAGGACTCAAGTGTAAAGACCCTTGAAGAATGATTGTTTGGCAGCAGAGAATTGGAGAATGAGGATTTAACTTTTTGACAAAAGTCATTGTGTCTAGTATTGGCACAGCATTACACATCAGCTGCTGTTTCAGTGTTATTTGATGCCTTTTTTATTCTTTTAGCCTTGAAATCTTTCCAGCCGCAGTCTGAGATGCTTCATATGTTTCATATAATGGTCGAAAAAAGCAATATTTGTCAAAACAATCATTCTAAGGTTCAATACAAACCCAACTAAGTTTTGCTGTTTTGTTGTAAATGAATCAAAGGCAGCACAGTATCCCTGAAAGCAGATCTCAAACCTTATGTAAGACATTGGCACAATCCTCCGGTGTTGTTGAGAGTGGTGAAAAGTCTTGACTTAATCTGGAGCCATTCACTGTAGAGAGAGTGTGTGGTGTGGTGTGGTAGTTTTCTATAGGATTAGCCGCCAGGTCAGAGCAACAGGATTTGGACAGGCAGGTGGACATATGGACGACAGATGATCCGCGTGTCTCAAGGCATCCTGGGACTGGCCGACAGTGAGTGAGGAGCTAAACTGGAGCTCTGCTCAACATGAGCTCTCACACAGGTGGAGAAGATTTGAAGAAACCACAACACGCCAAAGTGCGTGAGACACACATTAAGAACACACAGAATCCCAAAAGCCCTTAATAAACCCAGAGATCCAACAGATTAAAGGCAACAGTGAAGGAAAAATAGACTGAGGGCCGTTTTCGCACATCCCATGTCCACATTTTGAGTTCTTTTAGTGAAATAGTTTTTGCATGAAAAGTGTGCTTGTGCCATTTGTTTCCATCACAGAACCAATATACCATGACAAATCAATATGATCAATTAAATTACAAACCAAATCAGTAGCTCATATACAACTAAAAAAATGACAATGGTGTCAAAAACTGACTACTTGTTCTAGTGTTTGTAGAACATTTTAAACATCTGTGTGGAAAACTGTGTGGAAAAGCCACACGTTTTCAGAGACAGGAAATGTGCTACCCGGCTATTCTCACAGTCAGTGTTGCTGAGTACGCATTGTCAAGGGTGTGTGAGTTTTTGCATGTACACACTAAACTGGAAAACTGCAACCATAACCACATTTTTTAGCCTTCTCAATGTGAAATATTCACAGTTGAAACAATGTCCAATGATAATCCATCTACAGTCGATTGGATTGTGAAAAGTGGGCATTACATACCAGAACAGAGACTGATATCATCCAGAAAGAAGTTATTATAATTTGTTAAAAGATTATGAAGACAAACATTTAATTCGCTTGCGCAGAACATGCATGGGAGAGAGGAATAAACAAGTTTGAGGTTCTAGCAGTAATTATATGAGTGATGTCTCGTTAAAAGGCTGAACTATAATCAAGAGTAAAAGCTCCAGTGCCATGAGGATATGTGCAGCACTGCAGTTTACTCTAGGTAATAATCAGCATTGTTTACTTACCCTGCGGTCAGTCATGGCAGAAACACAACTCGCTCTGCCACGCTGTACAGTTTCTCTTTATTGTTTTTGTTCTTTGTCCCTTGAGTCTCTACATTTTTAGCTGGAAATGTTAGTATTTCTCTTAGCACAATGTCTTTTCTCCAATTACAGAGTGCAACAGGCGGGTTTCGGAGAGTAAATACTCCATTCATTTTCTCCACAGGGAAATATGTTTTTAATCCTAATTTATAAACCGGTAAAGACAGCCCTACAGTGAGATATGAGGTTAGTAATCTATGGTATTTGCTTCAGTTGAAGCTGTCAGCCCGCATAAATTCAACTTATTTTTAAAATAATCATGTTCAGCAGCAGAATTAGTGGTGAAAAACTACATTACCTATAATGCTGTGAAGAAAGTTCCACCAATCAGAGATTTGACGCAAATAAAACGCACAAGCTCCGCCTACTCCCATGAAGCACTGCGAATGACTTTTGTTGGATTGTAATTATTTCCCTCACTAAGGCCGTTAAGTACACAGTCTTGTACCGCTGAATTTGTGTCTAATTTTCAATTACGTTTTGATTGGAATCAAAGTTTGTAATGTTGTGATTTACCTCTTAGCTAGTTGGTTTGTTTCATGCTTTATGGCGCTTTAGCAAAGACTTTAAAAAAAAATCCCTATAGGAGAAATTAATGGAAAAAATATTTCAGGAACCAACGATGCTAGAAAAATGGGTGGCACTCTTTAACCCGCAGGGCACTGTACAACGGACACTCACAACTTGAAGAGATGTGTTAAATTAAAATAAAATATACATAATACATTCAGTCACATATGGGGTTGTTTTTTCCCCCACACCATTATATTACTGTTTGTATATTAATTCAAGGAAATGTTAATAATGTGATTTTGATATCAGTGATTTTATATGTTCCAACAGCTAAAGTATAATGCATTTTGATGATTAAGTAATACCAAATGATAATTCATGAAGCATTAAACACTCTTGACATTTACACTGCACCACGTGGGCTTTAATTTTGGCCTACTTTAGCCGGGATGGGGTCCTCAGTCCATTTCCACAAGAAACGAGTGATGAGTAGAGCGTTGCGAGTGACAGATGTTTCAATTCTGCACATCCGAGTGGCTCTGCTCATCACATGTTGCTAATGTCAAGCAAAAGGGTTTTATAAAGGGGTGAATGAGAGTGAGTTTATGGCCTAAAGCAGGTGCTTGAGAGATTATCTCTGGTTTAGGGACTTAGAACAGCTCTATGTCAATCACTTCTCATTGTGCTGAGAGGCGCTTCTTTCAGATCAGAAGAATCATGTGGTTTAGCAGCACAAAGTGGATCAATCTATTAACTGTGTGGTCTGTTTTGACACCACAATAAGCAGATGAAGAATTTAGATAAGAGCATCCTCATACTTCCTTCCTGAATTCTGTTACTATTAGTTGTCCATTCACTGGGATTATATAACACATTGATTCTTGAGACATTGAACAATGCATGCCCCACACCTTTAACTGCCATTCGTTTCGAATATAACAGAGAAAATGAAAGATGCAGGAAGTTTCACCAACACAAAGGTGAATACATGTTTTACAGATTCATCCTTTAACCCTTGGTATATAAATCATTTTCCCTCATCTTGCCCCAGTACTCAACCAATAGTGAACTCACTGCTTGATAGTTTTGTTTAAGATTCTATTTTCCTAAAGTTATCTTGTTTAATTTAATGAACTCTCCTGTTTCTTCTACTAATCTCTTGCCAGGACTTTCTGATCTATCTGATGAGTGGGAACAGTTGTGTATTTGGCTGTCCCAGTAAATCCTCCACTGGTAAGAATGAGGAGAACCTGAAGATTGACGTCTTACTCTTTGCTCCCGACATCCTACCTCAGCATTGCTGCGTACAGCGCCTAGACGCCGCCAAAGACCAAACTAAGGGCGGCAGTAAGACGCAAACCATGCTCAGACCCCTCCACAGCGCATGTGTAACACACAACGGCGTCCCTCTTGATGACGAGGTTGAGTTGTTTCCAGGTGACCTGGTGGGGCTCGGTCAGCACTATCTCTTCATGTTCAAGGACCCTACGGCCTCAGGAGACTTTCAGACCCCGTCCTGGATGGCCACCCTGTGTCCCCCTGCCACGACGTCCCCCTGTAAACTGTGTGGGACGTCTGTCAGGAGGAGGAGGACTCAAAAAATGGCCGCCCGCTGGAGGGACTTGGATGGTAGGGTGGTGTCGCTATCCTATCAGGTGCAGCACGAAGATCAAGTCTTGGAGAAGATTCTCCGGATGGTGGATTCAGGAAGGGAAGAACCCAAACTCACTCCAGCCTTTCTACTGTGTCTGTGCATTCAACACTCGGCCACCAACTTTGAGATGGCTCACCTTCGGAAATTGCTGCTCTCTATCGCCAATCATATCCAGCTCACCATGTGGGTGAGTGAGAGTTTACAGAGTACAAAAAACACATGCCAAAAACAAGAAAAGCACACTATTATAATGTTGTACCACAGTACCGTATATACCCGAATATAAGACGAGGTTTTTGTCCTAAAAAATAGGCTGAAAAATGGGGGGTCGTCTTATATTCAGGGTCATCTTATATTCGAGTGGAGGAATCGATTGATAGCCTTTTTCTTTCTTACATTTGAAATAACGAACTTGAGCGCGCAAAAGACGCGATATGTGAACAGGGGGGACGGGTCTCTGCTCGCTTGTCTCCATCCGCTCTGGCATCCTCTGTGAACGGCGCTTTTTCTTGCGCGGCTCGAGCAGAGGGAGAGAGAGAGAGAACGGGAGCCGGATCGTCGTCGAAAACGGCCAGACTACCCCGCAGGGTGGACCAATCCATGGTCGCACTCAGGGCAGCCGCAGTCATGGCCAATCAGGAAGCGCATATGTACAGGTGTTGTGCCGAATTTCGACCCCGGCCAAATTATTACCCCCCTAGCATTGGTAGGTTTAGGATTAGTTGTGGGGGAGGGGGTAGGATTAGGGGCGGGGTCTGGATTAGGCAATCAGGTACTGACTTCAACGAGGGGGGTAATAATTTGGCAGGGGGTCGCAATTCGGTACAACACCGGTCTCCGCCGACGAGCGGGCCTCTACACGAGGCTCAGGTGATGCGAGGCATTTGGAACAACGCCTCGGAAATTTGCTCTTAAAATTATTTTCTGTTGAAAAACAGATTTTTTTCCACAAAAATCTATTTTTCCCCCAAAAAAAGTCTGGAAAATGGGGGGGTGGTCTTATATTCAGGGTCGTCTTATATTCGGGTATATACAGTAATTGTGTTTTTGGACATGTACCATGGTATTCTTTGAAATACCTTTGATTACCACTTTGTGCTTTTCACACTGAACTTAACCCCGGATAGAGGACCATTTCACACTTATAATATATAAGCGGAGTGAACCACACATTGTTGTGCGAAACGTTTATGGTGTAAAATAAAGTGGTGTTAGATTGTTACGGCTAGATGCATAGCCCCAGAAAACCAGTCGCATGCTTCATATTCTCATGCTTTGGACAATCACAGAAACACAGTGATTTGTATAAACAGTAGTTTCAGCATTTGAGGAGAATTTTGTCAAATGGTGACAGAAAATGCCACAATTGAATTGAAGAAGAAGATGTTCAATTCTTACCTCCATAGTCTGAAAAGTCCATTCGGAAAAAACTTGATTGTACAATCGACAATATACATTATGATGATGCGCAACACTAGGGCCAATATGTAAAAATGTCGCCTGCTGCGTTCATCAATGATACTGACACCACAAATATTAATGTTAACCCGGGGTTTAGAAATGTACAGTGTGAAAAGTCAGCGCATGCGTTTGAGCTATTTGTACCAGGATTAATGGTTAACCCAGGCCAATTTTGAGCAGTGTGAAATGTGAAGCGAGATAACTCAGGATCCCATTTACCCAAGGTGCAGATTGACCCAGGGTGTACTATTTCAAGTGTGTAAAGCCCTTCTGTTTATGTTTATAACTCACTATGTGGGCTGGTGGAATAGACTATGAAACAGCCAACAAGTCCACTAACTAAGCAGAAAGTACAAGTAAACTGCATGAAGCTTTGGAGTAACATATTTGAATAGCATTTAAATAAAGTCCATGATGTCCATTTGATGCATATTTACATTTACAATACTGGACACAAGAACTTGTGTCCAGTTTGACACCCCTTTTGGAGAGCTAAAGTAGGTCAATGTTGTCATCAGGGGATTAAAGGTTGTGGCACACTTAACAGAGCGGTTCTTCTGAGATTCTTCTTTTTTCCCCTCCTCCACAGGAAAGAACAAAAGAACTTGCAGCTCTGCAGCCAGACATGTGAGAGAGCTTATTTCTTCTTGAAACCATTCTTCTTTCACACGCCTCTGAAATAAGAGCAGGGAACTTAAAGTACGACTTCAACTAGCGTATTATCAATTCACTTTTGTTTTCTTTGTGGTGCCCGATCTCCACCCGGGACAGGGCCACTTGAGCGTGTCATTAACTGTTGAATTGTCCGGTAATAAATCTGTCTGCTGACAGACAGCAGTGTTAAAGTGTTTCAGGCTCTGATTGTCTTGTTTAAATTGTGAATTTGGCTAGCAAAGAGGAGGCGTTGTCAATAAGCTGGTATTTTCCTCTCAGTCCACATCCTGATGTTCAGTCATTTCCCTTCATATTGTGGTGAGATTAGTAGTTAAAACGTAGGTATTAAAGGGGAATCTTAACCTCAATTCCTCAATGATTTGAACTTTGATTTGGCTTGCTGCTATTCAAAGTATTGAAATGGAAAAAAAAGACAGGTTTTACAAGCATATAGGTGTAGTAAGTTGTTAATTCAGTGACATCATTTGAGCATTTAGTTGTTAGGATGGTTGTTTGGTTGGACATTTAGACAAACCGACAAATGTATGGAGAGACAGATGGATGGTTGGTTGGTTGTTTGGACAGACAATTGAATAGATGGATGAATGGTTGGTTAGCCAGACAGATACATAAATGGTTAGATATGGTTGGTGATTGCTTTTTTGGTTGGACAGACATGTAAAAATACAGAATGGTTGGTTGGTTAGAAAAACTAATTGATAAATGCTGGGTGATTGGTTGGACAGACCAATGAATAGGTGTTGGATGACTAGAGATGTTTGTTTGGTTAGTTGGTTGGATGGACAGAAATTTTGATATATAGACAGATCTTGGTTAATCAGGAAGATAGATAGCTATTTAGTTGTTTGATGGGTTGGTTAGACAGACAGACAGATAAATAAATGGTTAGATAGATGGATGTCAGTTGGTTTTTGAACAGATATTTAGACTGACTGGCAAAAAGGTAGATGGATTGTTGGCCAGAAAAATGGATAGGTTTATGATAGTTTGTTTGAATGAACAAGCTTATACATAGGTGTATATAGACAGAAAGATGGTTGGTTAGTTGGTTGGACAGATATTTTTATGTATAGACAACTGGTTGGTTAATAAGACAGATGAAGGGATGGTTGTTTATATGGTTGGTTGGTTGGTTGGTTAGACAAATGAATCTTGATTTCTTGTTTGGGCAGACCGATATATAGGTGGATAGATGGATGTTTTGTTGGTTGGTTGGCCTGATAATTAATGGATTATTGGTTTGTTGGGTAGACTCACACAAGTTTATCCATCTGTCTGTCTGCCTATGTTTTTATAACATGTGGGCATTGTGCTCTTTATGCAACAGAAGCTCCAGTGATATGTCAGCAGAGCTGCATGTGTTGAACATGAAGGATCTGATCCCAGGCCTGCAGCCGCTGGTGCTGTGGATGTCCAACTCCATTGAGCTGCTGCACTTCATCCAGCATGAGGTCCCTCTGCTCTTAACATGGAGACAGCAGGACAGACAGGAACAGGACAAAGGTACCAGCCTTCCCTATGTGTTGTCCCAAATATGTATTAGATCACTGACCTTGTTCGCTCATTGCTTTAGTTATTATTTTATCTTTTGATCTTCCAGCGACTGGTAGATCTGTACTTAGAAGTCACTTGCGAATGTGCAGTAACATCATGTCTCCATCTGCTCAGAATCATTGGATTGTCAGATCCAGTCCACACGTGCTGCCAGTGAGGAGGCCATGACTGTCCTAGAGGAAGTCATCATGTTCACCTTCCAGCAGTGTGTCTACTATCTCACCAAAGTAAGTATATTAAAGGCTATTAGGTCCAATTGATATTTTGCACTATCAAATATAGGTCCAATATTACTAATAGTATTGGCCATTAGGTCCAATATTGTACTGTGCTAGTATTTAATATGTAATGTTTATTTTACATTAAATATTTTCCTCATAGCCCTGAAAGGATTTAAAATATGTGAAACAGGACATAACTGCGTAAACAGCATTTTGTACTTCCAGTCTGTCAGCCAAAGTAAAGTCATAACAAGGCGGTGAGACATAGGGATTGGCCACAGCTATTGGTGAGCGAGATAACTTGTCCTCTCTTTCCCAAAGAATCAAAAACAAACACATTAACAGTGTATTTTCTCAAGGCTCAAGTTAATGGCAAATCCCTGCCCCTCTCAGATGAGCGGGGAATGTTTCAGAACATTTATTTTCTTGCTGGATTTGTCTGTTGCCGTACGTGATGCATGTCTTAAAGGAATAGTTCAATCAGGTAGAAATTGTTATTTTCTGTCCATTGTTATTTTCTCAATGGAACATAAGGAGAATTGTTTACTTTTCTAAGACCTATTCCTTTAATCTTTGATGTGCCTCCATGGGAACCTCTCAAGGAAACCAGTGTTGTTATGGTTTACTAAAACTAAAACTATTAAAAATCGCTAAATGAAAATGAAAGGGAACATTTTGAAACTCAATCTCCATTATATTACATCAGTTTCGATGGTCCACGCAATGAAGTCACCTCAAGTTGGAGACAAGAAATATGTGACGTGTTTGTTACAGAATAACTTCATTGATAAATAGTCAGTGGAGAGGTTAAGTCCTTCACGGTTCAAACACTCCAGTCCTAAACTAGAAAACAACTGGCGAGTCAGGAGTTAAGAGGCATTGTAGCGGATAGGAAGGACAGAGTTACCCATCCTCTGCCTGATGAGGAAGCAGCTGTGCACCTCCACATTTGGACTCTGAGAGTTCATCTGTTTCCTGACCAGGAAATATTCTGTTCTCATCCCCAGAAAGGGAGAGGATTGTCCAGTTACAGCAATCATAATGCCTACCAGAAAGTTAACGGTTACCAGATAATTAGCATGTAAATGTCGTTTAACAAGCCATAAACTCCTTTTCTTTTGCCTGTGATGTCAGACTGTGTAAGGTGATTGGTTGGTGTCTGGAAATTGTATTGTTTCATGATAAAAGAACGTACGGAATATTAAACAGGTTATAATAATGGAAATAAACTGCTTTCCTGTTAACACATGTTTTAATGGTCTGTTTCATCATATATCAATTGTTAATGGTTGTGAATGGTGCGATTCATCCATGTCTTAGTCATGCCCATGAATGCTGTGATGTCATGGGTGTGTAAAAGGCCAGAATGTGTCGGTCAGTGATGAGTCATCGGAGGCGGGACCTTTGGCTCTGGTTAGTTCCTCAATGACCTCATATGCCTGAAGTGCATTTGAGTTTGAAGCACTTATTTCAGGTTCATTAACCTCTGCTGTGCCCTGACAACCTGGCAGTGTGTTTATGTGTGTTTCAATGACGGCATTGAAACGGAAGTTGCGATAATCTTGTCTTCCCTATTGTGACGTATATCTGAGTGAAACGGCTTCTAGAACAAGAACAAATGTAGGGCGGGGCTTGTTTTTGTCCATGGGGAATTGATTGGATGGTAGTGGTTTGCTATTGGTGGATCTCATGTGAGTGACAGGTTGTCTCGCCCTCGCCCCAGTAAACACGTCATCAGAAAAAAGTAGATATATCACTGCAAGTTATTTTGATTACAAAGGCACATGAATTAAACAAAAAATGACGTGCATAGATAAATCATTTATATATTCCATAAAAAAAACGAGAACTGTCCATTATGATTTCATGATGACTTAAAGAGTTGTGTTAAAGGCGCACTATGCAGGAATTCCGTTTTTGTCAAATAGCGACCCCTAAAGTCGCTGTGGAGTACCTGTATTTAACGTTACTGTCGTAAATACCACTCAAGCAGAGCGTCTCTGCACTTACGGCCTGATACCCCTTTGAAGCTGTTATATTAAGGTACAAAATACAAATCTTGCATAGTGTGCCTTTAAATAAGAGATCTAGGGGGTGTTTATGGGTAGGCCGACTATGATATTAGACTACATAGCCTATAATAAAAGATAATGAATTTAAAACCTGAACCAAACATGTTTTTTCAAAGATCAACACCCTGTCATTAGTCTTTAGTCTGCCACTAAAAAACGGCGTGTTGTGGTTCCGGTACACCAGCCATGTCAACGAAACGAATGAATGAAAATTTGCGTATCAATATCTAAATTCGCGCCTACATCTTTGTAGAACTTCAAAAAAAGAAACAGAAAAGATGCTTCAGCCAATGAGCCGCCGGCGGGGGCCGACTCAACCTCCACGGACAGTTTTTAATATTTTATCAAGACAATAACTTCTCAAGATTTTGCTTTAGTATAATTTAAGGGACAATTAGGGCCGGATTCGGGACAACAGCTTAGATTTCGTGACTGTCCTGAATTTTTCGGGACGTCTGGTCACCCGATGTGGCGGCGCGCGCAGTCTCCACTCGGACGCGCTCTTCAATCTATCGCCGTTGACAATAAACAATGTATTCTTTTGCCCATAAAATTCTGCTCAAATTTCAGTAATGTAACCACATCTTTACATTGAGATCTGACGTTTCATTCGCAATGGATGATCATAGTGAAGGTGAGCTGTGTGTCATCGCTACACTATTGACAATATGGACGCTGTTTGCTCATTAAATTTAGCTGAAATTTCGCTAATGTGACCACTCCTTTAGTTTGAAACCTGACCTTTTATTAGCTTCTATGGGTTGTCATGATCTCTAAAACATAATTTAAGCACTTTTCTTGTGCTTAAAGAATCATCAATATTTTCCTTTATTTCAGGGTTATAGTTCAGCATGCTGTGTTTTTGTCAGCTTTGTGATAAAACACGTTCCCTCTAGACTCTTAGCCTTGCCCGAGTTCCCGGCGTCTGGCACACTTATCTGCATGGCCCTTATATGTTTACAAAATCCTTTTATCTCTCCCAGCAGTGGTTTAGTCAGTGGGAAAAGTGAGTGTGGATGTGAGATGCATCTGCTGGTTTAGTCTTATCTGAATGATTCTCAAGACTCTCACTGGCGCTGGAACAATGGCCAGTCAGGGCCGAGACATTCTCCAGAGTCCAGTCACAGTCACATATCTCCTGCTGAGGGGAAGCCGGCCCGTGCCGCTCTTCCTGTCGGCTCGGACGGGACGCTCACTATGTCCTCTCTACTGAAGGCACAAAAAATGTGACCTGGCTTAATCTCTCCTGTGTTTTCTCCTATGCTTTAGGCTTGCGTTTGCACATTCAGCATTTACAGATATATTCGTAGTTACTTTGTATGTATTCCACTGCACATTCAGGATTTATAAATAATTATTGAGCTTTAAACTTTATATTCAGATATATTTAGAATATATACTGTACATGTACACCTCCGTTCAAAAGTTGATTTGATCAAAAATACAGTAAAACAGTTATAATGTGAAATACTATTACAATTTAAAATACTATTTTAATAGCATTTAAAAGCATCATTACTCCAGTCTTTAGTGTCACATGATCCTTCAGAAATCACTCTAATATGATGATTTGATGCCCAAGAAACATTTAAATTTTTTTTGTTTAATAAAAAGTAAAATATATATATATATATATATATATATTTGACACAGAAATGTTTGTGACATTATAAATACCTTTACTATCACTTTTTTTAACACCTAAATGCATCCTTGCTTAATAAAAGTATTAATTTCTTACAAAGAAGAAAAAAAAATAATCTCACTTATCCCAAACGTAACAGTATTTAGATTACTATACATTTCCATTTTTAAACATAGATATTTTACAACTTATATTTTACATTTACAATTTGGATAAAATTTTGGATATATATATATATATATATATATATATATATATATATATATATATAATTTTATTTAGATATTTAAATTATATATAATTTTTTTCAGTCACAAGTCAAGATTTTTCTAGCAATATATTCAGATTTTCAATTATATATTCAGATTTAAAAATGTATATTAAAACTTACAACTCTATACATAGATTTTTCTCTATGTCCTGTGTGCCCCCCATGATATATATGTTGTAGATATTATATGACTGCATTGTGCGCAAAATAATGAATTCATCATTTTCACATGACTTTGGAGTAATTATTATAACTACACAATCCATATATACTTCAGTAAACGATGTGTTATATATGGGGTGGTGCTCTTAATAAAGTAAACTATTTAGCAAGTATTTAAGCTTGCAGCATTCACATTATAAGAGTCTGTACAGGATACGTCAGTTGATGGATTGTTAAGCACATTAATCGAGCATCATTTCCCCGTCCCGTCTGTTAGAGCATGTATGCTGTGTTACCGGAGCTGCTGGACAGTAACCCTTTCTCTGAGAGCGGACAGCTGCGCATGCCCGCGGGACTCAGCCGAGTCCTGGACGTCCTGAAGGAGGCACTGCACCTGCTCAACACTTTCCTGGTGCACCGCGAGATCACGTCTCAGCTGCTGACCTACCTGTTCTTCTTCACCAACGCCTCGCTCTTCAACGCGCTCATGGAGAGAGGTGAGCACACGCGCGCACTGTCCTTCTGGAGACTCGACAAAACCTGACCGACTCAAAAATAATCAGAGTAAATTTACTGTGCGTGAACTCTTTGGGTTTTCTGAATGCGACTCACCACTGAGGTCTCGATGCAAGTTATATGAATTCACACACCAAAATAAGAACAAAAGAGAAGACGAGAGAGTGCATTGTAAACTACTTTGTAGAACCGGCTGTTTTCACCGCAGTGGTCCTGCTTCTCTGTTGGGACGTGTTTCTCACAAGGGTGTGAATTTTACAGAGTGAATATTTGCATCCAGGTGTAAATATCATTGGCCGCACGGAAAAGCTGTTTGCTCTGCTGAAGCCAGACACAACTATGACTGGTTGAGTTTAAATCCAGCTTGTGACTTTTGATGATTATTGAAACATAAAGAGAAGCTTAATATGATGAACATGTTACCATGATTGCACTAACTGGGACATTAGAATAAATATAGTGGTGGTTGTGTTTGAAGGGTCTGGCGGTGGTTTCTACCAGTGGTCCAGAGGAGTGCAGATCCGGGCCAACCTGGATTTGCTGATGGACTGGACCCAAAGCGTCGGGCTGGGAGATTTGGCTGCCGACTCCTTCCAGAAACTCTCCTCAGCCGTCAACCTGCTCGCGACCCCCAAAGAGACCCTGCTGCAGGTCAGACTCTCGCAGAGATGCTTCACAAGTGCTTGCAAAACCGTTGTTTTAGGGATGATTCCAGTACCCTGCTCATGTTCTTGCACACAATGACATGTTCTGACACAAAATAAATCAAATCTTTACAGGATTCAAACAACATTCAATTTTATAAACAGTAAAAAAGACAATATTTGTACAATTAGTAAAGCTATATTTTCCATACAGATATAAGATTAATAATGTGCCTTAAGCTGAATTCATTCATTCATCCATCCATCCATCCATTCCTTCATCCACCCACCCATTCATCCATCCATCCATTCATCCATTCATTCATTCATCCATCCATCCATCCATTCCTTTATCCACCCACCCATTCATCCATCCGTCCATCCATTCCTTCATCCACCCACCCATTCATCCATCCATCCATTCATCCATTCATTCATTCATCCATCCATCCATTCCTTTATCCACCCACCCATTCATCCATCCATCCATCCATTCCTTCATCCACCCACCCATTCATCCATCCATCCATTCATCCATTCATTCATTCATCCATCCATCCATTCCTTTATCCACCCACCCATTCATCCATCCATCCATCCATTCCTTCATCCACCCACCCATCCATCCATCCATCCATTCATCCATTCATTCATCCATCCATCCATTCATCCATCCATCCATCCATCCATCCATCCATCCATCCATCCATCCATCCATCCACCCACCCATTCATCCATCCATTCATTCATTCATTCATCCATCCATTCATCCATCCATCCACCCACCCACCCACCCACCCATCCATCCATCCATCAATTCATCCACCCATCCATTAATTCATCCATCCCTCCATCCATCCATCCATCCATCCGTACGTATGAGAAAATGAGAATTTTGGGGAAATGTTTCATTTTCTAAAGGCTAAAGATAATTTTATATTTTATATAATTTCTCTTTTAATTTTTAGGCAAAATATGATTTGAACCATCTACCCAATATGTTGTTTCCTATTGTCATGGAAAAGTCATGGAGATGAATTAAAATTAAGGGTGTGTTCACACTTGTGGTTGGGTTCTCTTGGTTTGTTTGATCCGGATAATAAAAAAAAAGACAGAAGAAGATACATTAAGTCCTGGTTCGCTTCGTGTTCACACTGTCATTTTTAACAAGAAAACAAGTTGTGCCTGAACTGAATTGTGAATGTCAACATCACGGCTATGGCGTGAAAAAACAGGTTTGCTTGAACATTGTGTCCTTTTTAGGGTCACATCTTGTGACATCATGTCCTGTTTTTGGTTCGTTTACAGTAGATGACTTTGTTCTGTGTTGTGTTCATATGTGAACCCACCCTTAAACATCATGGATGTTTCTATAGTGAATATACATTTGTAACACTATACAATAATGCCTTATAATAACATTACTTAATGCATTAACTAACAATGAGCAATACATTTGTTAAAACATTTATTGATCTTTCTTCATTTTAGTTAATAAAAATACAGCTGTTTATTGTTCAGTTCAGGTCCATTAAAATATTAACAGATTTTAGTATTTTTATTTTAGTAATGTATTAGTAAATGTTAAACTTAACCTTTAACCAAAAATATATGCTTTAGAATGATGTTTAATTGTTAGTTTATGTTAGTTAACTAATGTTATTATAAAGTGCTACCTGTACATTGTTGTTGTTACACACTGAAATATAACATCAGTAGAGTAAAAGTGCAAACCATAGTGTCGCGAGATACATTTTATCTTGAGTTGTTCCCTTGAATTAAAGTCAAAACAGTTCACAACTCAGTCTGAATGATTTATTTGAGAATCAGTCTAAATCATTTTAAATGCCCCTATCCAGAGATCACAATTCACTAGAAAGGGAATTCATTGGGCAAAATGGTGTTGGTGCACCCTTATATTGTTTGTTCAGTTCACTTGACAAACAGCTTGATCGAGTTTCCTTGTGAATAAATAAGGAAATTCCTCAGTTGCAAAGAAGAATAAACTTGGGTTTGACAGCAAGGTGTGCTGGAGGTTGTAATCTGGGTTTGACTGCTGATTGGACAGGTGTGAGTATCAGTGATAGGAACACCAATAACCCTTGTAAAAGACATAAAAATGACCTGATGTTTCAAGAAACACAGAGCAAACCTGTTTCACAAGACTTGAGGTATCAAGTTAATTCAATATAACCTCATGATGGCATCAAACTCATGACAAACGTCATATTAGTCCTTGAGTCATGCCATTTTTCCATTCACCACATAAAAAAAACCCTGTTCAGCTTGCCTCAACATGCCGCCGCATTCAGCCTGTCATATAATTCTAAATAAGTATTCAGCTCAGTCATCAAAGTTGAATCATTTTGTAAATACAATGTAGACGTATCGCCGCAGGCAGGAGGGACTTTAGTACCTGATGAACAGGAAATGGAAGAAGTCAAAACAGCTGTTTGTCTGGTCTCAGACCTGTTAACTTTCTTCAAAAGCCATTGATAGTGGGGAGATGCATTGTTTACTCTTTTGTGCGTGAGGAAATGAGTTTCACTTAGCTTATCATACCATAAAAAAGGCAGAATAACAGAGGATAGTACAAGGTTTACAGCACGTCACCCAAACACATCCTGTACCGTGGGGGTTTACAGGTCTCGTGAAGTCTCTGCGGTAAACGAACTTTGACCGTTAAGCCTCTTAACCAATCAGAGAGCTGGATTACAAGTGGGAGGGGCTAGTATGATCTCACTGTCTTAAGTGACTGAGTTTAAACTCCAAACAAACATATACATGACTCACTCTGTCACATGATCTCTCTGTTTATTTGTTCTGCATTACGCAGTCAACCATAAATGCACTTTTTACAGTAAATGAGGGACATGTAAATATTTACTATAAAACTATTTCATTCCAAATTTGATTAGCGGTGTTTCTCCGTTATTAAAACTATGACATACTCGGAGAGATGTACCCTTGTGAAAAACTTTAGCTTACTTTTAAAAAGAGTTTTTATTACAGAAATAATGTAGTAAAAATTGAATATATTCAATTGCATGTTTGTTGGATTTTGATTTATTATTTTAATAAGGGACAATATACATAAATAATACATGAGGAAAAAATGTAAATGTACAAGATCATTTAAGTATGACTCATGTACACCTTTTATATGCAATTTCGTAATTATTTTATTGTCAGGTTAAAGTGTGTTATTAAATTTACTGACAAGCATTTTTGTAAACAAAAAGATATTAATATGAATCATATTAATTTATATTGAAACATGTATTTGTAATTACACACTTGAAATTACAATTTTGAAATTAACTTTAAAGATAATTTACACAGATCAAATCATAATCAAGTACTTTACATGTGCTTTAGTAGGTTAGTCAAAACATCAAAATAAGCGTACTTCTTTAAAACATGACTAAACGTTATTAAAACAATCATTTAAATGTGCTTTGAAGAAAAACTTTACTAGCTTTGCTAAAGTGAATTTTCAAAAGTGTACATAGTGACAAAACTCTCTTGAACTTCACATAAGTATCCTTTTATTTCATTAATATTATATTATTTGCAAGTACAGTTTTTTTTTAAATGTACTTTTCAAAAATTTTAATTTTAAACTTAACTACAAGTGCACATTCAACACAATTACATGCACTTCTTTTTAAGAAGGCTATCTAACCCTATAAGCCAACATATTATTTTACAAGTTTGGGTTAAGACTTTAATCTACAAAAATACTCTGTCAGCCTAAATTACTATATGATTTATTTATTTTGATCTAACAGAAATCGCATGCAAAATTCAGGCCGAGTTTTTGTGTTTGTATGAACAGGCTGTGACTCTGGGTTAACGTCTATTTAAACCCTGAGTGAAGGTGAAATTTAACTTTGGGTTCAGCAATGTTTCACACATTTCCACATTAAAACTGGTTGCGTGGTCGTCGAGGAATAGTTTACCCAGGATTTTGAATCATCCGGGATTAACCATTGTAAGCGTGAAAAAGTATCCTAAAAACACACTATCAGCCTCTATGGAACACCATAGCTACAACACAGACAACTGTAGTAACCACTCCGAACACACTAGCATTCAATCGATCTAACCCTTAATACTGTATTGATTTGAAACTTTTAGGTCAAGCTAACATCAAAGTTTGTCTTGAGGAACTGTGCTTTTCCGGCTAATAACGTTATCACATGTAGCACTTGTTGAGGCTAAAGAGACAGCATGTGTCTGTCAGTATCATCCAGTGTGCAATTAGAGAATGTTAACTTCCTCTATCCGTCAACAAACAATGGTTGCATGTCAAAGTTGCTGGGAGACTGGTTGTTAAGTTCCCACCCATGGCATGAGCGCACAGTTTGTGGTTCGTAAAACATCCATTTCTGCACATAGTTGCAGATGTCTTTTCCCCTTTTCCAACCAACTATTTTGGGACAGCCATTCTGACTCTTCAGTCCAGCCTTTTGTGGGTGTCTATAGCAAAGAAAAATTACAACATGACACAAGTCATTTCATGTTCTCTCAACAGTCTCTTAAACTGTGCTCTCACAGATTTGTCACATATTCAAAATGCAGTCAAAATCAGAGATCTCCAGCATTCCTCATCAAATTCTTTCAAGACCAAACGATCTGAGCTTCTATACACATTCATTGTGTATATATATATATATATATATATATATAATTGTGAACCAAGACGTAAATCCAACATCTACACCAGACCTGCTTTACTCATGGGACTGGTTACTTGTTTAGACCTTTTACAGTCAAACCCAAGGAGAAACCAAGACCAGACTTGGCTACGGATAGAAGGGAAACGCAAATAATTTGCACATTCAGCTGGAGAAAATGAGTTACTCATAAACATGCTTCTGATGCACATGCACGACTGTGTTGTTGCTTTATTAGCCAAGAGTGAGTCCTGCGGCTTAGCCCTACAGATCACAGCCCTTCCCAGACTCATGTTACACCACCCATCACATGTGTTTGAGGCGTCCTAATAATGTCTATGCATCAGCTAAATGATTTATGAAAAATCTCTCATGCTTCATTTCAGGGTATAATGGTGAATCATGCCACGTGATATTTCTTCCCAAAATAAAGAAAAAAGAAATAATATTTAGCAATGTCTGATTTATAGTTAATTGGTTAATTAAATTAAGTAACTATCAGTATAATTGGCATGCGACCCTCAAAACAGTGTATTAAATATTTTAAAATAGGTTAATGCCTTCATGTTTTCCAGGAACAAACATGTCAATATTCCTCATTTAAATAATTCCCACCCGAGGCATACGTAGAATAAATGAGTATGTTGAAACTTGCGGTTATGGTATAGGGCATGGCATTTCTGAAACTTTTGGAAAGGAGAGGCTTCATATAGACAGGAACTAAACAGAGTGTTACTGACAGACTAGGAAGAGAGGTGCTGCAACAATGTCAAATATGTGGAAAATAATGTGTCTTTTGAACTTTCAAGCATGAAAACCTATTCTAGAAGACCCCAAAACCAAAATCAAGACTTTGTAAAATAGCCTTATAGGTCTCCCCGAAACTTTGTTTTAGTTCAAGGCATATGGACTATATTCTGTATTCAAATTAAATGAAACTAAAAGAAATAAACCTAAGCAAAACTCTAAAGATAAACTCTCTGTTGAATGAAACTAAGCTGTAACTGTAAGGAAATGCCTAACATATCCTGTCAGGTTCAGCAAGAGTCTGTTGTTCTAGTGAGTTTGTACAATGTTCATTCCCAGCCACTGCTTCCTATATCATTTTGTGAAGAGATTTGGTTTAATTACATACAAGAAGTGAATGTTGTTTTGTTCTGGATGCAAAAAAAATGACACAGAAGAAAACACTACTCTGTTATTTAGACAGGCTATTCATAAGACAAACCAGTAAAGGAGAATGCAAAAATAAATGAGGAGTGTTATTTGGTGAGCTGTCTTTTGTTTAAGTGTTTTGGCTGTATTTCCTTTGTGGTATTTTAAAGATGTTTTGATATTGGACAACAGAGTTTGCTTGTCATGTGTTGTCAGAGAATATGTAACTTTGTGAAAAGAATGATTATTTACCCATTTACATTTAAATTCTGGAAACTGTTGTGTCCACCCAATTATTCTCCTTACTACATGGAAATGTACTAAAACATTCAGACTAAATGATATTTGACCAGGGTTGCATATCTCTGCTAGTGTTACTTGAACTAAGTGCTACATTTGACACATTCATTTTATATTGTGTTGCCATTTCTGGACAGACACTAACCTAGTTTAGATTCTACCCGTTTGTTTGTGTAAAACATCTGTAAAGGAGGGTATACCACAAGGCTCAGTCTTGGGTCCTTTGCTATTTTCTTTGTACATGCTCCCTTTAGGTGATATTACTAAAAATGTATTTTCATTATTATACAAGACTACACACACATTGCATCTAAATTGATTTGTGAGATGTGTGAATGAGTACACTAACTGAAAGCAGTTTTTCACCACAGTTACCGTTGCTAAATCATGTAGGGCTGTGTTTCCCAGAAGCATTATAAGTCAAATACAATTCTGTGCCCATTGTGTGCTGCAAAATCAAGATTACAATGTATGTGACCAATTGTGAGTCAACACATCTCACATTTCTCCTTTCCTGAATAGTTAGCTAACCTTGCTGAGAAATCTGTCTGGGCCTGAAAAGCCCTTTTAGTTTTATGTGGATTTTTCATTCTTCTATGCATCTGTGTGTGTTTACAGGCATCATGGTCCACTCTGCGAGCTGAGTTTGTTCATTTGAACCCTGCACAGCTGCATCATATGCTGAGAGAGTACAACACAGCCCGTACGTGCCCTCCATGCTGGACCCCGTCTCCAGAGGATTCAGCGGCGGCCCTCCATACATGTGAGCTCAAATATGAACGCACACACATCATCCTGTAATCACAGATGAACAGTGACGTTTGACAATTGTCAGTTCCATAATATAGTATACCTACAGCCTAAATTGATTAAATACTGTTTTATATGTGTATTTTAAAAGGTTGTCCTTAAGGCCCTGATATACTCATGACAACGTTATTTTTCTTTCTTCACTCGGAGGTAAAAATAAGTTTCAAATACCTTTTCAGCAGTTTACTGTAAGCGAATGTCTGCGACACCACCCAAACTGATGAGAGCCGCGTTTAGATGAATATTTTATATGTAATGCGTGCTTTTCTCTCAATAACAAAATAAACATACAACAAAAATGACAGCAGTGAGAAAACAGCAGTTAAGAAAGCATCTGATCATAGAGATGCTCCAGCTCTGCACTTCAACTCTCCAGTAAAGTCACATCACACTTATTTGTATATAGCACATTATAAAATTGATTGGTTTAAAGCAGGCATCTTTAAAGCAATAAACATACAGTGTCCATGTTGCTTTCAACTAACCTTTTTAGCATTGGGTGATTCATTATCAGGGGGAGGCCTATGTATAAAGGGCTCAAATGATGTCTTGAATGCTCACTGAGATTCTCTGTGCCTGACAGCAAAAATATTTTTTGTCTTAGCTAATATCCTGGAAAGTTTCGACAACCATCCTCCTCTAATCCTGCCCGGCAGCATCTTTCATCTGGAGCTGGGAAATCCCATCACAGAGCCAGGGCTGTTCCCTCCATTGCAGAATCTGCAGGAGTTTATCCAGTCTCTCCCAGAGAGCCAGACACCGTCTGATCATCAGCCCTCACAGGTACACCACCTCCATGCTGTGAACTCCATAGACGCCACACAAAATGCACAGACATTTGTTGCAATGGTTAGTTGACGGGTATAGGCGTTTTTTTTTTTTTTTTTTATATTTCGAAATGTTGGCCTATAGTTAAGAAACAAATAATTGTCAATTGTACTCAGAGACTTTACTAATTGAAATTAAATATTTAACTCGCATCAAACTCTTTGACAACTGACTATTTTTCACTTAAGACAAGAAAATCATATCTTCATTGATGCTTTTTGAGAATTGTTTAGTCTCGCTTACAACAAAACCAACCAATATTTAAATCTCCTAATAGAACAACAATGAACAATATTAAAATCTCTTAATAGAACAATACTGACCAATATTTAAAGTGGCCCTATTGGGCTATGTTAAAGGTTCCTTATTTAGTTTTGAGGTCTCCTACAATTGGTTTACATCAACCATTTAACCTATCCAAGTTTTTTTTTTTTAATTCTCAAAAATGTATTTTTCGTAATATACATTGCACATCACCTAATTTCTCAAAGAGTCTGAAAACGGTTTGTTTGAAGATTTGGTCTCACTAAAGCCCTCCTTTCCGCGAGCCTACTTGTCAAGCGGCCCAGTCCGTCGTGATTTGTCTACTCTGCTCTGATTGGTCAGATGGACCAGTCTTTAGTGATTGGTCTACTCTACTCTGATTGGTCAGATGGACCAGTCTGTGTTGATTGGTCTACTCTGCTCTGATTGGTCAGATGGACCAGTCTGTGTTGATTGGTCTACTCTGCTCTGATTGGTCAGATGGACCAGTCTGTGTTGATTGGTCTACTCTGCTCTGATTGGTCAGATGGCCCAGTCTTTAGTGATTGGTCTACTCTGCTCTGATTGGTCAGATTTCCCACTCTGTTGTGATTTGTCTACTCTGCTCTGATTGGTCAGATGGTCCAGTCTGTTGTGATTGGTCTACTCTGCTCTGATTGGTCAGATTTTCCACTCTGTTGTGATTGGTCTACTCTGCTCTGATTGGTCAGATGGTCCAGTCTGTTGTGATTGGTCTACTCTGCTCTGATTGGTCAGATGGCCCAGTCTGTTGTGATTGGTCTACTCTGCTCTGATTGGTCAGATTTCCCAGTCTGTTGTGATTGGTCTACTCTGCTCTGATTGGTCAGATGGCCCAGTCTTTAGTGACTGGTCTACTCTGCTCTGATTGGTCAGATGGCCCAGTCTTTAGTGACTGGTCTACTCTGCTCTGATTGGTCAGATGGTCCAGTCTGTTGTGATTGGTCTACTCTGCTCTGATTGGTCAGATGGCCCAGTCTTTAGTGACTGGTCTACTCTGCTCTGATTGATCAGATGGCCCAGTCTGTTGTGATTGGTCTACTCTGCTCTCATTGGTCAGATGGTCCAGTCTGTTGTGATTGGTCTACTCTGCTCTGATTGGTCAGATGGTCCAGTCTGTTGTGATTGGTCTACTCTGCTCTGATTGGTCAGATGGCCCAGTCTGTTGTGATTGGTCTACTCTGCTCTGATTGGTCAGATGGCCCAGTCTGTTGTGATTGGTCTACTCTGCTCTGATTGGTCAGATGGTCCAGTCTGTTGTGATTGGTCTACTCTGCTCTGATTGGTCAGATGGCCCAGTCTTTAGTGATTGGTCTATTCTGCTCTGATTGGTCAGATGGTCCAGTCTGTGTTGATTGGTCTACTCTGCTCTGATTGGTCAGATTTCCCAGTCTGTTGTGATTAGTCTACTCTGCTCTGATTGGTCAGATGGCCCAGTCTTTAGTGACTGGTCTACTCTGCTCTGATTGGTCAGATGGTCCAGTCTGTTGTGATTGGTCTACTCTGCTCTGATTGGTCAGATGGCCCAGTCTTTAGTGACTGGTCTACTCTGCTCTGATTGGTCAGATGGCCCAGTCTGTTGTGATTGGTCTACTCTGCTCTGATTGGTCAGATGGCCCAGTCTGTTGTGATTGGTCTACTCTGCTCTGATTGGTCAGATGGTCCAGTCTGTTGTGATTGGTCTACTCTGCTCTGATTGGTCAGATGGTCCAGTCTGTTGTGATTGGTCTATTCTGCTCTGATTGGTCAGATGGTCCAGTCTGTGTTGATTGGTCTACTCTGCTCTGATTGGTCAGATGGACCAGTCTGTGTTGATTGGTCTACTCTGCTCTGATTGGTCACATCTGAATTTCCACTCCAGAGGCTTTCTCAGCGCTTAATACCCAGTGATACGAACAACGGCATCGGTTTTGCCGTATCAATGTCTGTGTCCTAATCCTAACATTCAAAGTGATTTGCAGCGCTGAAAACAGCATCGTCTTGACACGCCGACAACACACACCAAACTCTTCTGGGCCTGAGGTACAACAACAGTGTTTCAGGTCAAATTAGACGTTGTCACAGCCGGTCATTGAAGACCAGTCTGGCATTATGCAAATTTGTTACAGTGTTAACTGGTATGTAACAGGAAGTGAGAATGGCAGTTCCAAATCGTTTTTTTCTTTTTCTTTTCGGAGACAGTAAATGTAGTTTGAGTGACTGAATGGAGCTCAAGCGTAGTTCAAGAAGACCATGGCGTGACAGCTAGCTATCAGCTAATGCTCAGCTGAGTCGAAACTCCTCCCACTACCATTAATCAAGGCACAATTTCATTCGTACACTCAGTTCGCACAGACACGCACTTCAGTCTGTCGCACAGACTAGTGCTTAACCATCCTCCATCCCCAACTCCTCCTTATGCAGCACATAATCGTTTAGGTGCTTGTCAAAGAGATATATCTATCCAGCTCATTGTTGCTCAATCTTGTCAATCTCATCACACATTGTTGCTCAGTCTTGTCAATCTTTCTACAGTTCTTTATATTATATTACTTCCGCTTGGAACTATGTACTGTTGCTTATAAAAATTCTGATATAACATTCAGAATTAATATCAAATAACAGTCAGAGCCTCTACAATAATCTTAATCAAACAGAGTGGTCCTGACTGAACTATATTTGTTGTTCACTTAAATCTTTAAAACTTTGCAGACCTTTTATGGCTCGTTTCCACCAAGCGGTACAGAACGATTCAGGACGGTAACCCCTGATACGTCTTGCGTTGCGGCCACCAGCAACAGTACCCTTACTTGATAGGCGTGGTGTAGCGATCAACGTCATTCTCATGAAGAAGAAAGCAACACAGTAAACAACAATGGAGGACATACAGCAAATATTGTTCTTGCTTCTCTACATGTGGCTGTTTGTCACAAGGAGAAGACGAGCTTTGTTTGAGCAAAATTAAGGCTGGAGGGGAAAACACAGCCGAAAAGCATGCGCAAGTGACGATTCTCTGTCAACCAATCAGCGTTCTGCAATGTGTCTAGCTCCACCCTTTAGTACCGAACTACTGTGCTAGGTACCCCAACGGAAGGGTATGGTACGATTCAGGATTTTGGTACCATTCACAACTTCTGACAATCGAAATGGAGCCCTAACATTCACAAACCAAACAGCAGTATAATAGTAAGCATAATAGGGGCACTTTACATCTCGTGATAGAACAAAACCAACCAACATTTATATCTCCTGATAGAACAAAATTACCAATATTTATATCTTAATTGCCTTTGGGCGCTCAGATGTGTGCCTGAGTCATTATGCCACGGATATATGTGCTAGACAACACTACAAATACAATAATAGATAGATCTAAATCCGGGGGATCACCAGTATCCTGTTTTATATTGTCATATCATCCAAGATCACTTAAATTAATGGTAAAGCACTAAGGCATTACTGATAGAACTGTATGACTTTTTCCAAAGCTGCTTTGAAGTGATGCATATTCTGAAAAGTGCTCTACAAATAAATCGAACATGACTTGAAATATGGGCTGATAATTATTTTTGTCATTTTGGATTCATTCAGGGCTCCAGCAGTAACTTGAATGAAGAGACTGAACCAACGACTGAACCAATCACCTGCCAGGATTCAGAGGCAACAGATCAACACCCTGCCACCATAACACCTCCTCCGCTCCGGGACTCTCACAGCAACCTGAGCTCGTGTGAGGCCGTCCTGACCCAGAAACTCAAGAGCCTGGAGCTCCAAAACAGCTTGTCTGGGAGTACAGACCTGGGCTACCACAAGAGTCTGGCCCTCGACCCCTCCTGCCTGCTCACGCCTCCCAACACCCCTCAGAATCTCGACCAGGCCGAGCTGGAAACAGGCCCACTGGAGGGGGCGACGCAGCAGACGGCACACCAGCACAGGAAAGGTAACCCGCACGTGTGTGGATAAAAAAAGGTCCCCGCAAGTCCTCAGCTTTGTGAAATATAAGGTTATAAAAAGTCTTTAATATCTAAAATAGTATAGCAAACGTAAATTTGTGGATGGAAAAACAGGAATCGCGATACAGCCCAGTGTGATTATTAAATTACGAAAGGCTATGATGGCATTAAATAAATATGACACATTTCAAAGTAAAAATGCACTTTCTACAAGCTTGTGGTTTCAGAGCTGTTCTCAAACAATGAACACCGCATATTTATGCCAAGCAGTCGCTTATGATCTACTGTTGACAATGTTTACATTATGGTGTGTATATTGTAATATGATGTGGATGGCTGTATATGGTTGTAATAGTGCTTATTTTATCTTCCTCATCTTTTTGAATGAGCAGCTGGCAATATAGCCCTCTTTTTTGGTGGCACTGGTTCCTAAAGTATTTTTTTTTGTTTTCATTGATTTTTCCCATAGGGATTTAAAAAAAAACTTCATTAAAGAGCTATAAGCCATGAAGCAAAGCAACCACAGCTACGAGTTGAATCACAACACCACAAACTTAGTAAAAGTAATAAAAAAAATAGTCAGTGTACTTAACGTTTTTTGGGAGGAAAAGAACTACAATCCCACGAAGCATGATCAAATTAATGTCTGAGAAACATAAAATACTCATTTAAAATGATAAAACTCAATTTTCTTATGGAGAAAATTATTGTTTACTTCTGGAACCAGACTGTTGCACTCTATAGTAAAACGTACAATTTTTCAAAATAAGAGTCCCAGTGTATTTTATGCTTGTTTATAAATAAAAGCCCATTATGAAAAAAGTTTTTCCTGGTTATTATTGGTATTTTGGTTACACAATAAACTGTATCTGGCATTAAATTCAACGCAAATTTTTGCTAGCTTTTGTCTTGGCTGACCTGTAAAATTATTTATTTTAAGTAGGCCTATAAAAAACTAAGGCGCACATGTGGACCTTGGGAAAAATGTAAGCACCAATCCCTGATTTGCAATGATCAAGGAGACACCAGTACACTTGCTGATCTGCTTTTCTCCACCAGATTCTGGATAAAGGTCTGTTTAGTCACTACACAGCCAAAACTCCAGTGTTAAATTAACTCTCCTGGGAGTTTATATGACTCCACACTCAAGAGTGTTAAATTAACACTGAAACAGTGTTAAAGTTAATGAGATAATTAAGTGATTAATTGAGTGATGATTGACCAACATTGAAGACACCTGATGTTAACAAGTAGAATCACTGAAGGTGAATTTTAAGTCACCATTATGGAGATCAGTGTTTGCTTTAGTTGGTCAGTTAACCCTTACAATTTTTTACTTTAGATTTTGTTTGGCTGTTGTAAGAGCATTATAACTGCCAGATGAACAAAGAGAAAAGATGACCTGATGGTGTTGGTTATGTTTTTAAAAAATCATCAGTTGACCTGAATCACTGAACTAATTTAGAGCTTAATCTCTGACTTAAATGTATATTGTTGATTACAGCATCACAGTGATTCTACAACGTAAGATCCAGAATTTTTGATACAATTCAAATGCTTTCTTAAAAGTTGTTCTGATAAAAAAATTTATTTCTTTTAGGCACTCACAGACATCAAGAATCAGTGTATGAATCTCAACAATGGTGACAAACTGATTTTTCAATTAGGAAAAGGAAATTACTAAGACAATTCAGATCATAATTTATTCATACTGCAATGCATGATGGGAGCCATGAATGAGTTTTGATTGGTGGAGGCCATAATGCACTTCAACATGCTTTATTATTGTCACCATTGTTGAGATTCACAGGCTGATCATTGATGTCAGTGTGTCTAAATAAAATAATTTTTCATAAACTCTAAATAAACTCTTTTGATCAGAACAAAGTTTAAGAAATATTTTGGATTATATTGAAAGTGCTGAAAAACGTTTGCTATAGAATTATAGTGTTGCTGTAATTAACAAGGTAATCCTAACGCTCTAAATAGGTTTTGTGATTCTGGTCAAACGATGATTATGTCAAACCATAACCAACACCACCTGACCACCTTTTCTCTTAGTTCATCTGGCAGTTGTAACTCAGTTACAACTGCCAAACTAAATCTAATGTTAATAGTTTAAGGGTCAGGAGGCCAACTAAAGCAAACGATGATCACCATAATGGTGACTTTGAAAATGAGATTTTCTCCTTCAGTGATTCTGCTTGTTAACATCAGGTGTCTTCAATGATGGTCAATCATCATTCAATTAATCACTTAATTAGCTCAATAACTTTAACACTCTTGAGTGTTAATTTAACACTCATATTTTAACACTTTAATACTCTTGAGTCTGGAGCCAAATAAACTCCCAGGAGAGTTAATTCAGAGTTTTTGCTGTGTAGGTTTGGGAACAACAACAAAAAAGCAGCGTTCCTTGCATATATGCATGATTTTACACTGATGTACCCTCAGTGATGTAGCTCTCGTACTGCTTGTCTTCTATTAGTTTGTGAGCTGTACTCTGAGAAATACCTCAGACATGTTCACCCTGTAGTGTGTTCCCTGATTTCAAAGGCAGGGTGTATTGTCTTTGGAGGCGTATGGGATGTGCTGCTGTTGATGTGGAGTTGGGTTTGTGTGCTCTGGCTCCATCGGGTGAAGAAGCTGGAAACCAGCATATCTCCTCTCCAGAATGTTTTTCCCAAGCATAATATATTTATAAAATGAGCAATGGTCAGGTGAGAATAAATAAAAAAAACCTATTCAGAATTAAGCAATCCAAATTGTTCCTCAATCTCTCTCTCTCAGGATCAGGTAAATCATAGAGTTTCTTCAGCGCTTTAACACTTATTGTTGGGGCATTTGGAGGAATATGTTAAACTCTTGCTGTTTCATCAATGTCGAGGAATGATTACCATGATTACAGGTCATACATTTTTAAAGAATGAGAATCCAATCAGCAGGAACCCTTCATGAACTGAAGCAGCATGCAAATTCAGCTCTGAAAAAAAGCATATTGTAATAGTTCACCCAAAAATGAAAATTCTGCCATCATTTACTCACCCTCATGTTGTTATAAACCCATTCAACTTTTGTTCACCTTCAAAACAAAAATTATTTAAATGAAACCTAAGAGATTTTGTCCTCCATTAAAAGCCCATTCCAACAAAACTTCAAAAATGTCATAAAAATCTGACTACCATGGTTGAATCCAGATTTTATGAAGCAATGCAAATGCTTTGTATTCGCAAAAAAAAGAAAAAAACGTTTTATTCACAAAATATCTCAACTTCCACATACAGTTTATCTCTGATGCGTGTTGTTGACGTTCTCCACTAGTTTATGTTGCCAAGAAAATCGCCGCATTTAACAACAGCTTCAAACACAGAATATAGAGTTGAAACAAAGAGTGAACTAAAATAGCGTGTAAACTGGACATTTGTACTTTTAATATATAGTTGAGGACTGGTAGAGCTCTACATGTGGCGTCCTGTTCCCACTGGTGTCCCGCCTCCTCTTTCTAAAGACTAGTGTGGGCTTTCCTAATCAAAGCGACTCTGCTTAGATCACACTAGGTTTGGCTGCTTTTTTGGTACTGCCACAAATCCTATAATCTGGTTCAAGAATTACAGAGAGGTGGTGATGTCAGGAGAAAAAAGAGCAATGGATAAAGCATCATGGGAATTTACAGTTGACTTGCTGGGTGGAATCTTAATCGGGACAGGCATTGTTCGGGACGCGGGCCGGGTGGCCGAGCGCTGGAGGAAAGCCCTTTGTGGTTACACCAGCCCACAGTATAAGATCTTTATGGGAACATGAAAATGGTAATTCTTGTATCATCATCATGCAGAATTATCTGATGTTTATGTCAGTTCAGTTGTTTACGAGTGCCTTTTGACCTTTCCAATTTGACCTACAATTCTGATTTCATTTTGACTTTAATGCCATGAAATAATCACTATGATAATACTATTGATAGTCCTGAAAACAACCTTAATTTTCTTCATTGCAAAATATAATTTCTGATTTTGGGATGACCTGGACATTCGGTGATATTTGATTTTGTTTATGCGTTATTTGATCTGGTGAAGACCCTGAGCTGATAATGTGATGCGTTTGATGTTGTTTTCTCAGAAAAGAATGGCGTGGAAGGAAACACAGAGCACAGAAGAGAGGAAGATGAGGAGGACAGTGATGAGGTGTTCACTGTAGAGCTGATGAAAGGACCTCGAGGTCTTGGGCTGGCACTGGTGGATGGAATGGTGAGGATTATCTTTGTCCTATTTTTATATTCTATTTATCATTCTATACTTGTCTACTCTTCCTACAGTGTATAGTATGTAAAATGTGCACAGTATATGCATGGAATAACTACATGATGGTTGGGACGCATTACGGTAATGAGAAAGAGATTTTTGTGCATTACGGTAATAAGAAGTTACCAGGAAAATGACCTGGACAAGTTTTGTTTAATACACACTCTCTATTTACTGTAGACGATGTAACATTTGAAGCAGATAAATAAATGATGGTTCCTCTGGTGAGTTGATAAACATATTGACTGTAATAGTTGATCCTTCATTGTGATCATGCTGATGAAATTACCCTGTTTTATATATAGAAGGTATTTCATATCCATTTCTCAGTAGACACACGGTTGTATAAGTCGAATGCAAACTCTAATGTCATTTGAGCTTGCTTGCTGCACTACTCTTTATTTAACACCTTCAAATCAAGGCCAGTCAACAGCTGTTATGATTAAAAATAACAGGGCTAGATTAGATCCGGACATGTAGACTGTGCTCCAAAACCTAGAGCTACTGCCTACATAGACAGCATCTTTAAAGGGAAATACACCCCAAAATGAAACTCCTGTCAACATTTACTCACCCTCATGTTGATCCAAACCCAATAAGTCTTTCCTGTAAATGAGGAAAAATATCACTTTATATGATAAACATCTATTGGGTCACCGTGATTTTGCCAAGTAAGACATGTTCCTGGATCAACATTCCTGTCCCAAAATGTAGTCCTTACCCAATCCCTTACCCTACCCATAACTTTACCCTAAAATCAGAGGGTAATGATAGGTGAATAACACTGATGTGTAAGTACTTCACCCTGGTTCTAAGCCTAAACTTGACATAAACTGTAAACTTGTCCCTCAAATCTGATTGGTCGATTGGAAAGTTGTTCCAGGATCAACAAAGATGTTGATCCAGGAACATATGGTACTTGGTGAAATCACGTTCACCATTGGGGATAGTAGGACTATTTATTTTATTTTATTATAAGCACACTTCATCCCCTATCTGGCTAGATTTGTTCACTGAACTTGTTGCAGCGCATTATGGGATTGTCTTCTCTGCAAAGGATACATGTTTTGCTACCTTGGAATTTGGTTTTGGTCAAAGATGTCTTGGACGGCAGGACAATGTTGTTGCCTAACTTTTCAAACAGATTTTGCATCATGAGTGCGTATGTGAGACCTTAAAATACTGCCTACATAGGCAGCTTAGAGCATATAGTTATAGCTATTTTGTTCATTTGTCCCTGTAAATGACTTGGAATTGCTGACTTAGTTGTTAGCTATGAGGTACACATGTGGGGGTTATATTTTACGAGAAGCTGCTCAGTAGGGGATGAATGGGTTTGCGTTGGCCACACCGATAGTCTTTTGAAGCCAACAATGAGTCCAGAGCTTGACAGAACGTGAGATCTCCCATGTTTCCCAGAACTGCATTGACAATGAGGTTCATGTTAACAATAAGCTGAAGTAAGAACCTGATGACTATGTGGTTTAAGCATTCAGAGACAATAAAACATCTACTTTCTCCATGTGACTCAGGACGCTCTCAAACAAATGGATCAGTGGCATTAGGGTGATACAGAAATGAATCATTCGTTTCCTGCTGATGCAGATTTTCATCTAGTCACCGCTAATCTTGAGTCTTCTCTTTGTTTTGGCTGGTTGGTGACAGAAAACGCCACTGCGAGTGAGCGGGATCTACGTGAAGTCAGTGGTGCCAGATTCCCCAGCGGCCCTCAGCCAGAGACTGCGAGTGGGCGACCGGATCCTCGCTGTGAATGGACTCAGTCTGGTTGGCGTGGACTACCACAGGTGAACAGTGAAGTTTTAAGAGACAAAACAAGGATCGTTGTTGCTTGCATTGCTAGATGCTAAACATCCCACAGTTGCAAAAGACTACCTGTTACTCATTAGATGAACACAAGTTTTAAGTTGACTTTAATAGGAGCAAATGCGTGGAGTTAACTTAAAGTTGAGCGTGATAGTTTGCCTTATTTCTTTTTTTAAAGTTGGCTCTACTTTTGTTTTTACAGTGCCACTTATCAAAACATTGGACATGCTAACTTACTGGTGTTCAACATCATATGTTGAAATACTTCTTCTTTGTCTCCGTTGATTTAAAAAAACAAACCCATTCTCATTATTTTTGACTAGATTTGTACTGATTTGGCTGAAAGAATTGATCCTCTGATTGAAAAAAAGCACCCATGAGCTTTTTTGAGAGCAAATATATAAAATATTGTCAAAAAGCTGAAAAATATTGTATTAGTATTGTACCAGTCATAGGAAGGGATATAGGATAACTTGTTTTATTTTTGCAATATGTATGTATGTACCCAGAGCTCCTGAAAAACCACAACAAATGCCATGTGTGTTTGTGCACACTTGGTGGATAAAGATCATTCTGATTCTGAAATAAGAAACTTGAACATGTTATGGACATGAGATTCACTTTATAAATTGAACACTGAGGTTTCACAGATGAGATGATGGACGTTCTTGACACTGAAACTGAAGGAATAACCCTCCTCCGCTCTGTCTTTCCCTGTCAGTGGAAGAGAACTCATCCGGACGTCCAGCGATTCGCTGCGATTACTGGTGGCCAAAACCCAATCCAGGAGCTTCATCACCAGATGCTGAGACACAGAACAGACTCGCCTGACGCTCGACTCCATCATTGAGCTGATCTTTCCTCATCCATCCATTCACACAAATCTGGAGACCAATATTGTGCGCAAACCAAAGGAAAGCAGTTCAACTGATTCATTCATGCTGTTATTTCAGCTGTTATTGTTGTTGCTTCTGCTGGAAAACTCTTTGTCTCAAAAGGCCAGAATAATATGTTGAAATCTTCCATTCACATTAGCGTTTATTTCTCACTTTTCTTTCTATCTTTAATGTAATATAGTTTAGCAGATGTTTTAAAGCGTTGTTTACCAGTGTTTTATTGTCGTTTAGTATCTGTCCGTCTGTCATTTTCTGGGTTCATCATGAGGAATAGTTGTGGGACAGACAGAGTTATTTCAGTTTCCTTAAAGCTCAAACTGGAAACACACAATTACAGCTTCATTCTGTTCATAACATCCCAACACTGTAAATATCAGCCAGAACTGCATTAGTGTGTGATATTTAACCGCAGTGTCACTATGAAAGTGCTGTTTTAAATGGTTCATGTTGCTGATGTTATGAAACTACACCTGTACCGTTTTCATATTGATGACATTTCATATTGATATTACTTGTGTTTCCTGATGTCAGTCATAAATGATGATGTTCTCCTCAGTGCCAGAGAAACAGTGTTATGTTGTCATCTGTGTTTATGATGGCATTAAAAAACAATCTGTTGTAATATTTATGTGTTATTGTACAAGTGTAATAAATATTATTTTGATTTCTTTTTAAAGAATAGAGGTAAACTGTGTTTTTCTGTCTAGTGTTGATGTATTTCCTATTGAACGGGAAGTTGTGTGTTGCACAATAACAGCTGACTGGCTTTAGGAATTGTAAATAATATGTGCAAAAAGGTAATTTTGTCACTGTTTTTGGTGAACACACGCTTACAAACGGCTTGAAAACTAAGTCTAGTATGTCCGTCACAGGTGTTGAACTGCGGTCTCGTCCGGCTCTGCTGGGTCTGTTAGTCTGAAGAGGGTTTAGACATGAAATCTGAATAAAGTTACAGCGTTGTGTGTGTGTGTGTGTGTGTGAACGAGGAGTCCAGCTGTGAGGTGGAGTAGAAGATCGTGTGTGTGTGTGTGTGTGTGTGTCAGAGATGCTGCTCACCGCAACACTTTAAAGACATTTATAGAGCATTTAATGAGTTTCCACTGCGACACACACACACACACACACGCACACACACAGGAGCTCATGCTGAGACATCATGCTTGAACATGATCTCACACACGTCCATCTCTTAAAAGAGATTTACACACTTCTATATCTTTCATTCCCAGCATTACAGGCGATGGATGGAGGCGTTTATATGAAGGGAAAAGAGGAGCAAAACTCCAGAACATGTAGATGTGAATTTGAGAACTTGTACAATAAATATTCATATTTGTAAGTGAAAATTTACACAACTCCAATGTGAAAATCTGTCAAATGAAAATCTGAAGTTGAATGTTGAGATTTGCGCTCGCAGACAATAGTCACAAACCTGTATTCTGAATCTGAAGCTGCAGAAAAGTCACAAGTGTGTGAAATGCCACTCACAGAAACTCACAGGTTTTCACACTGGAGCTGCGAGTGTAAATTTCAGCGCACAAGTGCGAATATTGTACAAGTTGTCAAATTCACATCTGCGTGCTCTGGAGTTTTGCTCCTCTTTTCCCTTCATACATGTATCAGTGTTTGCAAGCGGTGTGTGAGTGAATCGTGTTGTTAGACACACACACACACACACACACACACACAGACTAACACACATTAAAAACACAGTGTTGCTGTTCTTGTTGTTTCTTCTCTCGTGTGTGTTTTGTTTTCTGTGATCAGTGTATAAACTCACTGTCCTGTTGTGTGTGTGTGTGTGTGTTATTGTGTCTGAACGTTTGTTGATCCTGGTGTGAAGATCTTGTTGATCATATGAAGAATATCCGGATGTTTTCTGGGTTTTTGTGGTTTCTTTAAATATATTTGAGCATCTATTGTTCCAGAAGAGCGAGACGAGCCGCTGAGTTTCTGTTTCCACTTTCATTTGTTTGGTCACTTTTGTTGTCAAGTTATTGTGTTAGTCTGTGAAAGAGAGAGAATGACAGAAAGAGAGAGAGTTTCAATGGAAACTGTTCCAACATGTATTAACACACACACACACACACACTAGTCTAAGAAAGAGACACAAATAGACACACTTGATGCTCAGGCTTCACTGTATTGTTGACATTAATATTGTGTAATATTTCTCAGGATGTATTTTCAGAGATCATGTGATTTTACTGTATTAGAGTTCACAGAATGAAGCGCATTCAAAAGCACTGCGAGAGAAACACGTGTGTATGACTGAACTCTAGACTGTGTGTATGACTGAACTCTAGACTGTTTAAATCAGTTTTGACTCTCGCTGCACATTCATATATTATTCAAACATTCTGTAAAATTATTAAAACTAGGTTCAAATCTATATAGCAGTTATCATGTATTTTCTGTTTGCAACTTTATAATAAAGTGTATATTAATCAGCGGCTCGAGTGTGTTTTATATTCAGTGTTTCTCTTTTCTCTGACATAAAAATGCTCTGAATGAGAAATTACATTTCTTTAAACATCATTCATAACACACTTCATCTCTCCGGTGTCGACACTGAGGAAACACACGACAACGCTTCTTTCTTTTTCACTGGATCACATAAAAACAAACAACATGTCTAATAGTTGTGTGTAAGTTATTGTTGAGGTTATTATCTGTAAATGTGTGATTGTTATCTACAGTAGCAGGAAGGCTTTTTCTCAAACGAACCGCTCTATGGTGGAGTGTGTGTGACTCTGGATCAGTCTCGGGTGTGTGTGTGTGTGTGTGCAGGTCAGTCAGTGTGTGTGTGTGTGTGCAGGTCAGTCAGTGTGTGTGTGTGTGTGTGTGTGTGTGTGTGTGTGTGTGTGTGCAGGTCAGTCAGTGTGTGTGTGTGTGTGTGCAGGTCAGTCAGTGTGTGTGAGTGTGTGTGTGTGTGTGCAGGTCAGTCAGTGTGAGTGAGTGAGTGTGTGTGTGTGTGTGTGCAGGTCAGTCAGTGTGTGTGTGTGCGTGTGTGTGTGCAGGTCAGTCAGTGTGTGAGTGAGTGAGTGTGTGTGTGTGTGTGTGTGCAGGTCAGTCAGTGTGTGAGTGTGAGTGTGTGTGTGTGTGTGCAGGTCAGTCAGTGTGTGTGTGTGTGTGTGTGTGTGTGTGTGTGTGTGTGTGTGTGCAGGTCAGCGTGTGTGATTGACCTGTACAAAATAAAATCTTAAAAAACGGTCTGACTGTCAGCTACAAAACAAAAAAACGTAAAAAAATTAAGTAAAATATCCTAATTTAAATAAAGTGCAAAAAAAAAGAAACTTTACAGAAATTGTCCTTAAATGTTTTACAGAAAAATACTGTTATTTTACAGCTATTTCCTGATTTATTACGATCAAACACCTTCACTGTAAAAAAGAAATATATATATATTCAAAAATGGCTGGCATAAAAAAAAACGTAAAAATTAATGTAAAATATCCTAATTTAAATAAAGTGCAAAATATTTTAACAGAAATCTTCATTAAACTTTTTAACCGAAACACAGCTATTTCATATTTTAAATGAACATTTTACTTTAATTTTATGGTTTGGCAGCTGCCTGTCATTTAACCCTTTTTATGATTTTTGATTGTTATTTTACAGGTATTTCCTGTGTTCTTCAGTTTATTTAATGTATGATGTTTTACTTTAATGTTACAGGTCTTCATTGGGCTGCCAGTCATTCAATCGTTTTATCATTTAACTGTTTTGTTACTGTTTAATTACAGATTATATTTCTAATCATACATTTTATGTAATTTAAGAAAACAGAAAAAAAACTATAAAAATGTGAATTACTGCAATTTGTCATTAATATCACAATACCTAAAATAACAGCTGAATTTTTTATTTACCGATATTATTTTTAATTTGAGTACAATTTAAAATTAAATAAAATGAACATAAAAAAAATCAGTTATTTTCTGTGAAATAAGGATGTTTTTACAGTGTGGACGTTCAGCTGGAAACACTCACTGCATGAATCTCTTTATTTTCGGTTTCTCTAATCCTTAAACATGTTTAAACTTCGTTGTGAAAATGTGTAATATACAATAAATGCCAAATAAATGTTCAGTGCTGCTGTCATCACTGCGCTTTATGTAATTATTAATTCGTTTTCTAGATTTTTTAGGTGTATTTAGCGTGAATCTAAATGTTCATCCTATTTTAAGCTTTTCATGGCAGAAATAAATTTCATAATCCAATAGTTATACACTCACCGGCCACTTTATTAGGTACCCCATGCTAGTAACGGGTTGGACCCCCTTTTGCCTTCAGAACTGCCTCAATTCTTCGTGGCATAGATTCAACAAGGTGCTGGAAGCATTCCTCAGGGAGTTTGGTCCATATTGACATGATGGCATCACACAGTTGCCGCAGATTTGTCGGCTGCACATCCATGATGCGAATCTCCCGTTCCACCACATCCCAAAGATGCTCTATTGGGTTGAGATCTGGTGACTGTGGAGGCCATTTTAGTACAGTGAACTCATTGTCATGTTCAAGAAACCAATTTGAAATGATTAGAGCTTTGTGACATGGTGGAAGTAGCCATCAGAGGATGGGTACATGGTGGCCATAAAGGGATGGACATGGTCAGAAACAATGCTCAGGTAGGCCGTGGCATTTAAACGATGCCCAATTGGCACTAAGGGGCCTAAAGTGTGCCAGGAAAACACCCCCCACACCATTACACCACCACCACCAGCCTGCACAGTGGTAACAAGGCATGATGGTTCCATGTTCTCATTCTGTTTACGCCAAATTCTGACTCTACCATCTGAATGTCTCAACAGAAATCGAGACTCATCAGACCAGGCAACATTTTTCCAGTCTTCAACTGTCCAATTCTGGTGAGCTCTTGCAAATTGTAGCCTCTTTTTCCTATTTGTAGTGGAGATGAGTGGTACCCGGTGGGGTCTTCTGCTGTTGTAGCCCATCCGCCTCAAGGTTGTGCGTGTTGTGGCTTCACAAATACTTTGCTGCATACCTCGGTTGTAACGAGTGGTTATTTCAGCCACTGTTGCCCTTCTATCAGCTCGAACCAGTCTGGCCATTCTCCTCTGACCTCTGGCATCAACAAGGCATTTCCGCCCACAGAACTGCCGCTCACTGGATGTTTTTTCTTTTTCGGACCATTCTCTGTAAACCCTAGAGATGGTTGTGCGTGAAAATCCCAGTAGATTAGCAGTTTCTGAAATACTCAGACCAGCCCTTCTGGCACCAACAATCATGCCACGTTCAAAGTCACTCAAATCACCTTTCTTCCCCATACTGATGCTCGGTTTGAACTGCAGGAGATTGTCTTGACCATGTCTACATGCCTAAATGCACTGAGTTGCCGCCATGTGATTGGCTGCTTAGAAATTAAGTGTTAACGAGCAGTTGGACAGGTGTACCTAATAAAGTGGCCGGTGAGTGTATATTGTAAATGATATTGTCTCCTTTAAGCGTGTAAATGTTGTTAGTATCTTCTAAAAGTGTATTTATTGTAGTTGAACTGTAAATGATGAGCATCTTCTCCTATTATTCTGCAGTTTCAGTCTCTGTTTCTCCAGAAATGATCGTTGCTTTAACAGTCTTGTGTTTGTCTTTTGTTCATCATCGGTAAGAAAGCATTTGCCATGATGATAAACTGTAATGTCCCTCCTGGTGTTTTCCAGTCCTCGATCTGAAGTGTGTGATCGGGCTGAAGGTTTGCTCACTGATCCAGCAGAGGGAGACACACACACATTATTCACACAGAAGCTCATACTAGAGGAAGAGAGCATGAGCTCCACTAACCCGCCGTCACTGAGGCTTGAGTGAGTGAATTCCTCTCCTTCATCCTCTGGCGGCTCAATCTCCACACTAGATCTGTGTGTGTGTGTGTGTGTGTGTGTGTGTGTGTGTGTGTGTGTGTGTGTGTGTGTGTGTGTGTGTGTGTGTTCAGTAATTGTGTGTGTTAGTTGTATGTGTGCGTGTCAGTCAGTGTGTGTGTATGTGTCAGTCAGTTAGTGTGTGTGTGTGTGTGTTTATTGTGACACAGAGACACTGAAGAGTTAACATTATAAAGTGTAAATCCAGCATAAAGTGGTTCAGTGAATGTGTGTGTGAATGTGTGTAAGCGTGTGAGTGTGTGTGTGTCAGAGACGCTGTAGAAGGACAGAGTGCCGGCCGACTCGTCCACACACACTCCTACTCTCTTACAGGATCCTGAACCAGCAGAAACAGCAGTGGAGTTATTATTGTGCCGGACAGAGAGACTGTGATCAGAGCGGATCAGACTCCAGGACTTCTCATTCAATCCAAACACACAGTCACTCCTCACTCCTTTCCTCCTGATTCCTTTATATGACACTGATATATCAGTATAATCTCCACTGCATTCAGCCTCCCAGTAACAGCGTCCAGTCAGACTCTCTCCACACAGAACCTGAGGATGATAGTCAAATCTCTCTGGATGATCAGGATACGACTGACTCTCTGACACACACGTCACCTTTCTGTTCTCCTCAGACAGAGCGAGACGAGTGTGTGCTGTGTTTGGATCCAGTGTGAGATCAACGGCGTCTGAACACAAGAACACACATTACAACAGAACATTTACAACTAGATCAAAACTTTCAAGACAAACTTTGATGTTGGCTTGAGAAAGCCTGACCAGAAAGTCTGAAGGTTTTGAAGGAAATACAGTCTTGATCACAGACAGACAGATATGATGTTTCTAGACAGTTACTAGGGTGTTCTGGGTGGTTGCTAGGGTGTTCTGGGTGGTTGCTAGGGTGTTCTGGGTGGTTGCTGGACAGTTGCTAGGTACACTACCGTTCAAAAGTTTGGGGTCAGTGAGAATTTTATTTTTATTTTTTGGAGGAAAGAAATCAATACTTTTATTTATCAAGGAATAATTAATTTGATCGAAAGTGACAGTAAAGACATTTATTTTTTTTATTAATTTTTTTTTTATTAAGGATTTTCAAATACAAACATCAAAAAACAAAAATGGACAAACAATCAACAAACAAACAAACAAACAAACAAACAAACAAACAAACAAACCCCCGGCGCTGCAAGTTAAATAAAATGTACAATATACAAATGTTTCTGTATTACAGAAAACGTTAGTCAAAACAAAACAAAACAAAACAAAACGAGAGAAGCCAAAACCTTCTCAAAATAAAATTATTCAAATTTTCTGTAGGAAGGATTGGAGAGGTTCCCAAAGTCTCCTGAATTTGTCCTGTTTGTGGTTGAGGTCATAAGTTAATTTCTCCAAAGGAAGAAAGGCTGACAGCTGGGAAATCCACATAGAAATAGTAGGGACCTGGGGTGTAGACCATTTCAATAGAATACATTTCTTACCCAGGAATATGAGAGTTGTAATCAAAGGTTTAAAGTCCGAGTCAAGCAGGTCAATAGGAATGTCATTCAGCAGAAAGAGTGAAGGAGATAAAATTAAATGTTTTCCTGTTATCTCCTGTATAGCAGAATGAACCCCCTTCCAGAATGGTTGAATAAGAACACAAGACCAAAAAACATGAAAAAAAGTGCCCTTACAAGTCCTGCATTTGAAACAGAGGTCGGAACAACCAGGAAACATTTTATGCAAACGGACAGGTGTAAAATAAATTCTATGAAAGAATTTAAAATTTTGCTCATGTATGGAAATCGAGGTGCATTTTGGAAAAATACCATCACAGATCCTGGTCCAATTTTCGGGGTCAAACTGAACTCCCAAGTCTCGTTCCCACACCGGCTTCAGAGAATCGTAAACTGAGGAGTCAGAGTAAGCTAGTAAGATATAAAGTCTGGAAATAAGCCCCTTGAATGAATTAACTGACATTATGGTTTCTTCCAATTCCGTTAAATTGAATCGAAATTTGTTTTGCTTTATAAGAGACTCTATAAAGTGCCGAATTTGTAGATATTTAAAAAAATCTTCGGGGGGAATACCAAACTCTGTTCTAATTTGTGAAAATGATCTCAGAGTTTCAGAGATAAACATTCCTGAAAAATCGGACAGACCTCTAAAACCCCAATCCAGCAGCCCAATGCTTCTAATCTGAGAGGGAAAGTCCGGGTTCAAAGCCAGGGGGGAGTGAATAGAAACATTTGGAGGAATATTCAAATGTTTTTTCACATCCCTCCAGACTAGCAAAGTATTATGGACAATCATATTGTCAGTGAGAGAGTTTAACTGAGTTATGCTATTAATAAAGCACAGGGACTCTAAACTTCTCGGATGGCAAAAAGAAGATTCAAAGTCAATCCATAAAGCGTCCTGCCTTTTCCTAACCCAGCTTATTATCATTTTGATCTGGGCAGCCCAGTAGTAAAGCTGGAAATTAGGTAAGGAGAGACCCCCGAGTTCCCTTGGTTTACAAAGTTTAGTGAAACCAACTCTCTGTTGCTTACCGTTCCAAATAAAACGAGATATGTCAGAGTTCAAAGATTGAAAGAACGAGGATGCTAGGTAACATGGGAGATTCTGAAAAAGATAATTTAATCGGGGAAGTATGTTCATCCTGATAACATTAGCTCTCCCGAGAAGGGAAATTGGTAAAGGTGCCCACTTTTCTAAATCTTTTTTAATTTTTTGAGTTAAGGGAGAAAAATTAGTTTCAAACAGATTATTTAAATCGGGAGTGAGGAAAATGCCCAAATATTTAAAGCCTTTTTTAGAAACCTCGAAAGGAAATTGAGTCAGATATTCTTGGGAGTAATTAAACGACATAGAGACAGACTTTACGATATTGACTTTATAGCCTGACACAGAGCTGAACGAAGCCAGGGAATCCAGAACTGCAGAAATGGAGGTCCGCAAATTCTGTAAATATAAAAGGACGTCATCCGCATACAGAGAGATTACGTGTTTTTTCCCTCTGATAGTAATTACGGATATATCGGGATTGGTCCTGATAGATTCTGCCAAGGGCTCAATAAATAACGTAAACAATAAGGGTGATAAGGGGCATCCCTGTCTGCAACCTCTTCGTACTGGAAAGGCCTCAGACATCAAGCTGTTTGTGTTGACAGAGGAAATAGAGTCTGAGTAAAGAAGCTTTATAACATTAATGAAATTAGAACTTAGTCCGAATTTTTCCAAGACCATAAACAAGAAAGGCCACTCCACGCGGTCAAAAGCCTTTTCGGCATCCAAAGATAGTATCATTGAGGACTTATTTTGAGTACGAAAGTAGTGTATAGCATTAAGAGCACGGCGAACATTATCTGAACCGTATCTGGATTTCACAAATCCTGCTTGATCAGGGTCTATCACCTTTGGAAGAATAGGTTCCAATCTACGGGCTAAAACTTTTGCTAATATCTTATAGTCCACATTAAGCAGACTAATGGGCCTATAAGATGAGCAGTCCAGAGGATTTTTATCTTTTTTTAGAAGTAAACTAATTGAAGCTTGTCTCCACGAAGGGGGGACTTCACCCTTCCAGATACCATTAATCGCAGGCATAAGAATCGGATGAATATTAGGCCAGAATTTTTTGAAAAATTCCAATGGAAAACCATCTGGACCGGGACATTTCCCGTTCGGCATGGACTGAATTGCTGACCAAACCTCCTCTACTGAGAACGGGGCACTTAAATTAATACGATCGTCTTCGGAGCATGCCGGTAGTGTGATATTACTTAAAAAGGCAGCGATGTTAAAATCTGTCGCTTTTGATTCAGAACTGTAAAGAGATTTATAAAATTCCTTGAAAGTACTGTTTATGGTTAAAGGGTCACTCGAAGAGATACCACTTATATTTCGTATCATATTAATTGACCGGTCATTATTCAGATTTTTTAATTGGTATGCCAATAACCGACTAGATTTATTGCCAAATTCGTAATACTTTTGTTTAGTGAAGAGCAGAAGCTTCTGAATATGAGAGGTATGATCCATATTTAGCTTAGTTCTTGCATTCACCAAGGCTTTTAAGTTCGAGACAGTAGGAAAATGCTTATGTATTTGTTCCAATCTAGTTACCTCATTTTCAAGATTTTTCCTGTTACTGTCTTTGACTCTCTTAAGGTGGGAAGTGTAGGAAATTAGGTGACCGCGTAGAGTGGCTTTGGCTGCATCCCAGATCATGGCAGAAGACACTGGAGAATTTCTATTGTCCAGCCAGTATTGAGACAAACTGTCTGAGACGAAAGCAGAGAAGGGATCGCTATTTAAAAGGGATGTATTAAACCTCCAATTGGAGGTTCTAGGGATACTGAATGCAGGGTCAATTTGCAAACGTACAGCAGCGTGATCTGATAAGACAATAGGGTCAATATGACAAGACTGGACTGCATGCAGAAAATTTTTAGGAAGAAAAAAATAGTCAAGCCTGGAATATGAATTGTGAGGGTGAGAATAAAATGTATAATCCTTCACCTTAGGATTTAGTTGACGCCATATATCTACTAAACCAGAATCCGAACATAAATTGTTGAGCGCCTTAGATGATTTAGGGTTTGACACATTTGCAGATGAGGATTTATCTAGAGAAGCATCCATTATACAATTAAAGTCTCCGGCTAGAAAACCTAAGCCTTTGCAATGGTAAATAAACAATAAAATCATCTGAGATATAAAGTTAGGGGAGTCTACATTTGGAGCATAAACGTTGAGGATAGTTATATGGTGATTGAGAATGGAGCCCGTAACCAAGATAAATCTCCCTTCAGGATCCGATTCTTTATGTTCTAAAATAAAAGGTAGATTTTTATTAAAAAGAATGGCTACCCCTCTTTTGTTCTGTGAATAAGAGGAAGAATAAACTTGGCCCACCCAGTCTCTCCTCAGCTTTGAGTGTTCAATGTCGGATAATTTTGTTTCCTGAAGCAGTACTACCGTAATTCCTCAAATAAAGACCGGTATTCAAATAAACGCCGGGCCTCTGATAGTGGCCGGGGGCGTGGTCAACGCGGACAAATAAAGGCCGGTCTCAAATTAAGGCCGGGGAAAAAATAGTGTGAATAGGTACACTTTAAATGAGTGTACACTCAAAGACGGACGCGCTCAGCGCTTGTCATATATCACAACTATTCAGTGTTTTTAACCACATGTTTATTTTAGGTTTCAGACATTTAAATAGATATGATTTATAGCAAAACAATAAATTTATAGTTTGTAAAATACACAATGGTGTCTATGGAAGCAGCAATAACAATCCATTCAAATATATTTGGCGACGTGTTTTATTCATATCAGATACACAGTGTGTAAGTAACTATAAAGTTTACTCTATTCTTCTCCCAGTTCACCGGCCACTTACTTTCATGTATTTCGGGAGAAACTGAAGAATTCACGCGCTGTAACTTAACAAATAAGTTACAACAGGAATCTCCGAACTGCGGTGCCCATCTCACGTTACAGATCAAGATCATTTATAAAGGGTTTTAAACGACAAAACAAACTCACTTACACGGATTTGAGAGTCAGAATAGAAGATAGTTGATGACATGGTGAGCAAGTTTGTTAATATTTAGAAATAAAAGCGCTACATCTGTCATACAGCGCTATTTTGGCTGTGGTGAACACGTGCCAAGCATGACGCGTCACCATGGAAACTTGGCTGGCGGGCGGGCGGGGATCGC